CACATAAGCCGGCAATTGCTCTTTGAGCAATAAGCCCGGCTAAAAACCCCAGTCACACTTCCAAAAACGACCAGCGGCCGACGGTTTTTGAAGCAAAAATTGGATTCTTCGTGTGACAGTCGGCAGTTCATCGGCCCTTGTCTTGCCCGATTTTGACCTCTTTTTTTGTCGGCCGACCAATTTTGTGTCCATCGGTCCAAGTTATAATTTTTTCTGCGTCGGTGGCCGATTTTTTCAATTGAAGTTAACCGTTGACCAACCTTCGATCATCGTCCGACCATCGGCGGTCAGTTTATAAAGTCGATCGTCCGTCGTTCGACAATAGGGATGTCCAAAATTTCGGCCGACGCTTAAAATCAAACTGCAGCTCAGAGCTCGATGATCGGGCGACGATTGGCCCTCTTGTGAATATTTAACCTATCAAGGATACATTACACATACAAAATTTTGATGCATGGATTGATAAATATTTTTTGAACGGAAATAACATAAATAATTAATCCCTAAGATATAAGAAATCCTAAGTATTCTTTGCTGCTTAGGTATGCGCCATTTGTCGTTTTTTTTATGCAATTCTATTCAAAATTTTGCACACATTTTCAACATTGAGCCACAATCTTACAAAATTCTGCCACTTTGCCTTGCATACATAACGTACGTCACCTATCTGATTATAGATCTATGAAAAATATTGCTGATTTAAAAAAAAGAAAAGAAAAGATTTTTTGTGTAATTTATCCAAGTCATCGGTGTTCCTAGGAATTAATGTGACTGCTTCGTGTCGCCCGATATATACTTGTGTAGGCCGATCATGTTCTTTCAACCGACAAGACCAGAAAAATTTAGTCGCCCGACTATCGGCTTAAATGTGACCTTGGCAAAAGCAGTGGTTTTTGAAGAATTACTGGTATCCCATGGAACAATATCTTAGTTTGTTCAGTGATTTTAAGGTTATTGAAAAAAAAAAAAACATCTTATGCAATAAATGTCTGATGTTGCATGGCTTTTTGGAAAAAAAGTAATGACAGTCGAGACAAACTTTCTTTCATTTTACATTTAATGTCCTATATTTCTTCCTTTCTTTGCTAGAGACACGGACAAAAGACGATGACTCCGTCAAACCGACTTTGCTGACAAAAATGCATCAAACAACTCACCAACATTACGATTGCAATACATCATTATAAAAAAAGGACAATAACTAGAACTTTTAAAAAACCGTATGAGTTGTTCCACGCCAAAGACACCCCCACAAAGATCTGCAAAGAAATGAAGCAATATCCGTCGTGAGCCCTTTGTATTGATCAGGTATACAGAATATCCCGTCTTCAGTTTAAGTGTAAAAGCAATGAACTAACAAATGATATCAAATTTGTCAGACAAATTACGACCAAAAGATAGGTAGCATTGACAAACAATGTCATTTTAATGACCCTAAAGTATTGTTTTTAAACTTGGCTTTTAATTGGTCATTTAAATCAATGAAAAAATACTTGATGCAGACGAAACCTGCTTGACTTTAAAACTTATTTTACTCAGAGGATACTCTTGTGCAGCGAATCAGTCGGGAGACAATACCATAAGCAGATGATATTCAAACTATACACTTACTACATAAAAAAGGAAGCTGACGATTAAAAGTTTAGGGAGTGGGCTAAAAAAGGCTTTTTCTGCTGTCTAATTGCCTTCACTTTTAATTGTGAATAAAATTTTGTTTAAATAAAAGTTTATTATACAGTTTAGTTGTTAGTCTGGCATTTAAGTATATAATCAGCAAAAATCAAAATATGAAACATATGTGACGGACTCTGTAGTCTGTGTAATTTTGAGTTTATTGGAAAATATTGATCCGACTTGTAAATGAAAGTAATGAAATATAATATTGTTTTATTTTACCTCTACTGTTATTACTCTGTATAAAATTAATACCATAATATACAGTTGAATGGGTATTAGGAAAATAGTTTCCTGCCGAGGGGAACCATAAATTTTCTATTTCCCTCGTACTCATTCCATAACGGTATATAATGATACCTATATTATTATTACTTTATACAAAATGATTTTCACCAGTTAAGCGGAATGCTACAGAGGATATCCAAAATAATATGCTATGCTTCACAAGAAACAACAGGGAAGGGGGCACGTTTAACCAGTTATCCTGACAATGTAACCAAGGATGTATTGAGAAGAGAAAAAGGTAAATTCTCCTCAAAAATCACAGACGGAAACGCAGGAGATTCAGGCCTAAAATAGTTAAATAACCCCATACCATGGAGTGATTGTCTATACCCCATTCGTGGGCAATTTTTTTTTTGCCCAGTAAGTTAGAAGTAGCCAAATAATTGTCCATTAACAACTCGAGTTAACAGTTTAGAAAATTTGGTTGTTTTAATCTCTAACCGTTGATTGAAAGCTCGGTTGAGTAGTTGTTTGATAGTTGAGTGCTAACAATCAACCCTACAGCATTTGTATGACAACAAATCATTAATAGCCAGAAGATGATCTGGTGATGATAAGATAACCAGCAACTAAACAATCCATATAAAATCCTCTTTTATATAGAGTTCATGTTAAACGGTATGTTATGTATCAAAATTGATACAAATGATAGATGAAATTTCCAACTATATTTTGAAAACTAACCATTTGTTGTGAAAGGTAAAATTGCCAATAGCACATAACTACAAAAGTTATAGAGTTGCTTAAATTTGATATTATGATATAAAATAAAAAGCATATAAAGCAAATATAAACATTTTAAGAGGTAAATTGAAACCCTTGCTTCGCCCTTTACCAAAATCTACTTGGGTTTGTACAAGATTTATAATCCTTTTTACTTTACTTTATCGAGATATCAATCTTCAATTCTAATCATCCAATTCTTTTGCCAGATAAAACATCAAATTTTTTGGAAAACATGAAATAATGCTTTGTCAAATAACTTCAAAACTTATTACATATTCTAATAAAGAACTGTTTGGAAGTATTAACAAATTATGGTTAACTTCTTGTTATAATATAACTAAGTCTACAGTTCAACATACACAATGAAGTTTTCGCCTCGTTTTATTTTTGCCTCTTTTGCCCTCGACCGGGAAGAATTCAAGGTAAGCAGCATCATATCTTAATATAACTGCATATCTGGGCGATTTTAAAACTGGCGCATAATTTTATTGTTTTTTTATCTGTTTTTTCATTACCTAAACAATTCAAATCACATCTTCCTAAAAAATGAAAAAAAAAGAGAAAAAAAGAGTAATTTTGTAGCTGAAAAAATTACATTTTTCAGTTCAAACGCCATTTGCTGAATAACTGTGATAAAATTATCAGAATAGTATAAACCTGATTATAATCTCTTAATTATTCATTAATCATTATATTTACATTGATTTTTCAATTCTATCGGCATTTCCTAAAGAAAATTAAACAATGACGTCCGAGTTCGTGGCTCGTGGTTTTATCAAGAGTTCTTCCGTTTTATTTTAACTGAACAACGTTATTGAATTAAGATAGCCCATTATCCACAAGAGGGCCTAAGTCAACGTTTATACAGGTGAGAGGCGACACAGAGTTTCAGTTTGATGTATTGTAATTAAAGAACAACGATTTACTTTACATTACCCAGATTCCTCTGAAGTATATTTTATTAACTGTTTAAATATTTATACATCGAGGCTTAATTGTATTTTGAATGATACATTAAAAACGTAAAACTAAGCTTTAGAGTAAAATCTTTTCTCTTTTGATATTGTAAAATTAATTTTTACTGCCATTTTTGAGTTGACTAATAAAAAATAAATATTTTAATAGTTTGTTTATTTTATTTATTATTATTATTTTTTAAAAATATTTTTTTCATTACAAAATTGACCAAGTTTTCCCTAAAAGTTACATATGATATAATTTAGGAATAATACTTTCAACATCAGCAGAACAATTAATGTTTTTTTCTCTTCTTTGCCAAATAATATGCAGATTTTTCTTTGCCTTTGAAAAAATGTTAAAAGGATCGAAGGGTATCCCAATGATGGCAAAAAAATAAATTAAAGGAGAATGCAACTTATTTAGTGATCCACTTTATTTTCTTCTAGAGCATCACGATCGGTGAGACATTTTTATTAACTTTATTGCAATGTATAAAAATAGTTAATCCATAATCATATTAAATTAATATTACAAAATTTGTAATAAATTACCGGTATTGATTTTTGCAGGAATCCGAAGACATCTTACAAAAAAGAGATCAGTATAAATTTCCTGATGAAGAGATAGATTTTAAAAGATATGAAATATGGATATCTGAAGAATTTTAATTTTTCCCGTTGATAAATGTATTTTGTTGGGTCATAGAATGCTCAGCCAAATAGTAAATATTCCAAAGAAACAAAAAAGGTATTTTCTATCTTTAATGAATTTGTGTTAAGCCGCTTGCTTTTGTTTTTAAACATTGCAAAATGTTTAATAATTAAACAGCATTACTTAACAGTTATTTGATTTAAGAACCACTGCAAGTATTAGAGGTCTGAGGTAACCAGGATCGGAATATAAGTAATCACCGATAATAATCAGGATGTAATGTTTCGAGACGAATCAAAAGAAATTACAAAAAACAGCTTCTCTAATTTTATTTCCAAGTCAAGACGAGTTAAGGTACTTAGATCTAAAGATATTCTTAATTTTTAATTTCTGTCACAAAATTGGACTGAAGAATATAATTTATCGTGGATAAAAAATTGTATCGAACTAACTAATACAAATTTTGATATTTCATATCTTGTAGAGAAGAATATGTAAAAGGAGAAGTGCATAATTGGCAATTTGTCGCCAAATTGACCATATTTAACCAGTATAAGAAACGCGAACCGTATATCATTTGGTCATGAATTTATATTATTAGCGAAGGCAGTGTTCAGAATCATTCCAATAAAATACTGGGGCGTCTCGCAGAAAACAAAAGATAAAGATGGCAATGTGAAATGTTTCATGGCAATACAAACCTGTCAGTAGATCACATATCTTCCAAAGTCCCCAGTACTGGTAATAATAATAGTAGGTGGTCCAGGGGTCCGTCAGCAAATCTCGACTACTATAGATGCTCAACTCAGAATTTGAGGCTGCCACAGTAACTTGAAGGTAAGAATTGTTAACGGCATTTAAAGAGAAATCAGCTTCCTCCCAAGAATCCACAGAGATCACTAAAACCATAAAGAGGCTCCCTACCAGCCCCACGAGGGCAGTAGCCGCCTCTAGGATGGCGTAAGGAGCGGGCATTCGGACCGGAGCCGCTGTCGACTGGTCCTACACGACACAGGTGCCAGGTGGCCTCAACCTCGTCTGCTACTCACGTCACATCTGTGTGAGTTATAAGGACAAACACAGGACGTCTTGTGTATCCCGCCTTTGAATCTGACGTCTTCCTCTACAGTCCACGTTCGATGTATCGAGCGGCTCGGTCACAGGTTATGTCTCCCGTGTCTTGTGTCAACAGAGAAGTACCTGACGAAATGTTTGGTTAGTATTCACGCTTCAACATAGTCCTTTATGGTACATACATCATCAGCTGCAGGGGCTTACACAAAAGCTTCCTTCTGTTATTAATTTTTCATCTATATCTCATTTACATTCGTTTGATCTTAACTATCTCATATAAAATATGTACACAGTAATAAAATCCCTTTACTAACAAAACCCAGGAAGGTTTTTGTTTTTTTGTTTCTTTTGGTTAGTATTATAGATAAACGCAATTAGACATTTAAAAGTGGGGAACGCAAGCTTCAAGAACTGATTTATGAAAGTGTCTTAAATCAATATTTTTAATTATCAATTACTTATTGACTGCAGTATCTTATAGGAATAAAGATAAGGAAAAAATTTCCAAGTGAATAACCTATGCCTTTGATCAGCTTAATTTAAATAGAATTCCGAGAAACGCAAACGCCTTTTTTAATCAGATAGTCCTTTTGATTTGCTTCAGTATTCAAGATGTTTTAAACCTTGGAAGACACAAGAATACATGTATATCGTGAATTTCTCGTGAAAAATTGGGAAGAAGATGCTTGAATAAGAAGAACAATAATATGATTTGACTCTATAAAGCAGCGATCTCTTTATCTAAATAGATCCCGCCAAACTGCACGATCTGTTGATGAAGAGGTGTAATCAAGAAATTTCTACAGAAATATGAGCGAAACTCTTACACTTCATTGGAAAAGGAAGATTTGATATATGAAAAGATTATAAGACAATGGAACGTCGGTATTGACTGGAGGTTTGTCATTAAGCCTCGATAAAAGAACATTCAAGAAACATGTGGAGAACTATTGATTGTAAGCGGCTTAGTCTTCTTTTTGTCAAATGAATCTCATCAAATATATTGAATAAAGACAACTTTTTTTCATTTTTTTATGTTCTTTTCCGGAACTGGCAATATGGAATCAAATGTAACAAGTTTTAACGTTTTCAATAACGTGCTGCAATCTAAAAAGTGTAATCTGAAATACTCAATACACAAGCGACCTGACGAGTTTTTTTTTCATCTAGCAGCGTAAATGTTATTTACATTTAGATGACTTATTGATGTTAGGACAATAGTTGATGAAAAACTTTGGAGAAATAGCCCCTCAGGAATAAAAAATCCAGCCTGTATGTACATTTTCATCACCGGGTTCAGCTGCTTACACAGTAATAACTGACCAAATATTTATTTATCTATCCAAAATAATACACACCATAGAAATAAATATTTACCTTTGACATAACTCTCCCAAATTGCTGTTTGTTTAAAATAATTTTTATTTAATAGTAAAATAGCAACTGCACATTTCCCACATGGATAATTCATATACCTTAACGGCTAAATACAAGTTGTTGGAATTCGAAGAGGGCCATAATCTCTTATTTTATGAATCAGAAGACGGTGTCTAGAAAGGATAGACCATACTATACCATGAAACCCTGGAAAAAAATGTCATTCTCGGAAAGTCTTGTCATCTTAATAGAAACTGACGCACGCTCTTCTTTAATTAATTAAATGTAATGATCTAAAACAAAAATTCCGATAGACAGCGCGGCGGACCCTATATATTTACACAGCTAAATGAATGTGGCAGCAGTCTGCTTTCTATAACGGTCACCTAGGGAGTGAGTGTCAATAGCATCTGCCACGCTATTGGCTCTCTCAGGACCACGTGTTATTCGCATAAAATTCACTGCTTTCTCTCCCTTTTATACCTGCCCCTGACAAAATTTATGCTTCCCAGGGGAGCTATTTAGCCAACAGCAGCCGTGATCCTAACCTAAACATGAAGGGTCTTCCGCGATTTACTAAAGTTGTATTGGCGAGCCTTGTTGAACGGTAAGTACATGTTGTTTGTGGTGTTCTCAGCTGAGTTAGAAGAAATATTTTGTTAACCCCTGTCTCTCGGAAGATTTACTGTTCTGATTTCCCTACTTTATATCATTGTCGTTTAACAATCCTGAAAAGCCTTGTTTAAATCATTAAATAAGTCTACTGGATTTATTTTGTATTTTTTGGTAATTTCTTCCTGTTATTGACAGCACATTTTTAAAACATCTCCATCTATAGGCTTGGGTATCGCAATTAAACAAACGCATGTAACAGCATAGGGAATGTCAAATAACACAGCAACAGGAGTATTCTATTACATGGCTTAAGTTCTCCATTAAGTTAAGTAGAACTTTTTCAATAATGTTGAATTTGCAGTATTGCTTTACAACGTTTGAGTCTTTGCTGTCGGTCTAAAATAATATTTTGGAACTATTATAAAACTAAACCCCTCAAAAATCTTGCATTACACGGTACAAAAAATTAAAATATTCCTCTTAATTTGATGTATAAGTTTTTGCTTCATTGGAACTTGAAAAAGACATTAATGGTAATCTAACAGTCAAGCTCTATGATAAACGTGATGATTATAACTTTACAATCGTCAACTCCCCTTACTTATTCAAAAATATACCTTCATCACCTGCATACGGCGTTAATATATCTCAGTTGATTCGATACTCAAGAACATGCTCTTCGTATAAACGAGGTAAAGTTTTGGCAAACCAGTTGATGAAACAAGATTATCAGCAGTCTCGTTTAAAGTCATCATTTCGTAAGTTCTGTGGTAGATACAATGACCTTGTCAGCAAATAAAACATATCATTCAGTAAAATGATGACAGGCGTTTTTTATACTAATTGTTAGTCCATTATTTTTATACTGAATTTATGACGGATTTTTCCATTAGTTTCCGATTACCGGTATGACAAGGAGCACACGGCGGGTATGACCGGTCGACAGGGGATGTTCACTCCTCCATCGCACCTGATCCCACCTCTGATGTTTTGGAGGTCCGTGTTTGCTCTACTCCTATTTTGTATTGTTTTATGGACTTTATATTGCTATACGAATGAGGGAAGGCGATATGAAAGGGTCATGTCTTCAACAGATTTAAATCTATTCTTCATGTGAACTATGAGACAAACATTGACTAGTCATACGAATCAAACCCTTCCCTATTATTAGTCAACTTCAAATGCGTTTTGTTTTAATTCTACTTTTAAAAAAAATCAAGTTTAAAGTTAAATGTAACTAAGTCAAATTATGACACTAAGGGTGTCCAAGTTGTCTAAACACAGTAACCAAGAGTGACTCAACCCGCGACATGACCAACTCTAAACGGGGTGTCAGTGAAGCTTATGGCGTCCCTTTTGGTGACCAAACTGCCCTTGTGTCCATGCGCCATCCCCCCCTCATATAATCCTATTATCTGATAATGAGACCGGTTTATAGCTTTATGGAATTATGATAAGTGAATTTAAACTTAAATCATTATATACTTCCAGCTTTTTTTTTTTTTATTAAGAGACAAAAAAATCAAGAATCTGCATGCATGATAATTTGAACACCAACGCTTCTCTGTTCCTGTGCGGAAACAAGACGAAGTTAAAAGTACCCAGATCTGCTATAGATAAAAAATGCTGAAAACATTACTTTCAGTTCCTTATGATTATTTAAAACAGTATCAGAGAAATAAAAATTTTCCACTGGCTGACTCTCTAAGCTTTTTTTTTCAAAAAGCTAAACTTGTTGACCTTAGGTTAGATTGATTCTACAATCGGAGATATCTTACATAATGCATGTGTACAGCGAATACAATCTTCTCCAGAACAGCATCAAGTGTCATTTATATATTAGAGCATCCCTTTGTTGACTGGATTCGTTTTTAATTAAACAACGCTTGGAGATCTCTATAGGTTGAATCCACAATATGTGTTTTTCATTAGAATAAAGAGAGAAGTTCAAAAGAATTTTTAAAAAAGTTTTATGATGAATAACAGCATGGATACTCAGATATCGTTGAAGTCATGGTTTATTTTAATTAAAATTGACCTATTGGATTTGTGTGAGGGAAAGAGTATGTTAAAAAGGACACAACTAGAGGACATTACACAGACGAAAACCCTCTGATCAGTGAATTCGCTTTAGACTCGGACTAAGGTGAACCACAACAATTGATGACAAACGTATATAAGCTGTATAGATTTTTAGGCTGTTTAAGGAAATGAATGCTTTATGCTTTCTTACCCTGAGGCTTAGTCATGTTAGTAGCGTTCCTTACATTAAACTGAAGCGTCAATCATCTGACCACTTTTTAAACTAAAGTCTGTTAAGTGTTCCTTTTTCACAACTCAAGAATAATTATTGGATAAATTTTATAATTTGACTCAGCTACATGGTTTATTTCAACAAAAACAAAAAATTAAAAGTTGCTTTAAAAATGCGATTATATTTTTTTAACAAATAAAAAGCTATATCTGGGAATGGAATATTCCGAAATTAGAAAAAACAACATTAGAGGACCTTAAAACGACATCTCCATCAGACCTCCCTCCTTATATAATTGGTTAGTGGTCATGCAGCTCATACCCATAACTCCTTTTCTGTGGAGGAAATTCTTTAAAATCGTGTTAGTTTTAATATTTTTAACAAATATTTTTATTAAATATTTTTAACATTCCAAGTGAAAATTCAAAATGAATTTGATATTTCCATACAAATAAAACGGTATAAAAATCGTTACAAACAAAGATACGTAGTATATTTCCAGTAAGTGCTCTACGGGTACCAAGAGCATCCTTCTTTACTATTCACTAAAAATATAACAACAGTGAAGGAGAAGCTTCATTAGATCCATTTATCCGAGAACTGATGTAAGTCATGTGTGGATTCTTAATTACTTCACGGTACTCTAAAATAAAAAAAAACCAAAATCAGTATCCCCACAAAGTACCATCTTCAACATTTTAAACAACAATCCCCAACGATAAATTAATGTCCAGGTTTTTGACATCATAGACAGCTGTTTTGTCAATAAATATGGATCATGTTAATATTACTTACCTTGTCATTGGTCATTAACAGAATCATTGCGTTAAAACACATAAATAGACACACAAGTTCTCTGAAGTTAATGTTAAACAAAAAAAAAAAAAAAAAAAAAAAAAATTGATAAATAAAGATACTACAGTTCCTAATTTACATTTGTATCTTTGAAGATTTTCGGAAAACTGCTTTTAACATGGTAACTAAGTGCGCCATGATATTAACAGATCCTGTATTCCTATAAAGCAGAGATTAAAAAATAAAAATAAATAATTAACCTTCTACATAGAAAGCTATGCCTTCAACAGCTACATTTAGATTTAATGACGACTTTTTATCAATTAACAATACTGGAATAGATGTTAATTCCTTGGTACACATGTACGTTAATTCAGTATACCAGTATCCCTTTGAACTCAAAATAAAAGATAGTTTGAATTATCTGTTTTATATTTGGATATTTTATTTTAAAAAAAAGTTAAAAGAAAACGAACAATCGAGCTTTTTGAAAAAGATGATCACTTTAACTTTTCTATCGTCAATTTTGTTTCTATATGTACACTGGCATTGTCTTCAAAAAAATCCTTCTACATTTCAAAGGATGCTGGAATAAATTTAAACACTAAAATGTCTTTATTTGTTTGTTATTACTGGAATTAACGGAAGCAGCTGTTGCAGATAAAAATACATAACCCGCGTAAGCGGGTTATGTAATTTTTTTCTAAGATTATTAATATTGATAAGGAGGCATCGCCGGAAACCCAAGATCGGTTTCTCTTTCTTTACATAAGGCGAGAGTTGGTTTTGATGTGGATAATTAATGGGCATTATTCAAATCAAGTGTTTAATTTTATTTAAATTGAAAAAAAGGATTTTTTTTTCAAATCCGTAGGTATGAGGAATCCAATGTTAGAAATGAATTCTTGGTTTAATTCAATAAGAAAGGGATAAAGCTGATCCCATTGTTTGAAAATAAAACCTTGTCCCTCATTAAATGATATAAATTTTCCAAATAGCTGATTGTTTAAAAAGTACTTTATTGGAAAGAAATATTAATAAAGTGAAGGTTATAATTTCATTGTAAAAAACATGTTGAAAGATATGAAAATAATCATCTTATCAAATTAAAGTTTTGCATGCTGTAATGTGGAAGGTATCCTTTATGGCCATTGTGCGTTTTCTGTATCAAAATATCAGATAGTATCTAACAATATTTCACTATTTCTAGATCTGGTAAAAAAAAATGTCTCTCAGCAGAATAGTACAGATGTAAAAATGTATGTCAAGAAAGTGCGTTTAAGTATAGCAAAAAAATCAAGAATTGGTAGAAAAAGTCATTAATAGTTCACTTCTGGCAAAGTATAAAGCAGGTCTGATGTTTATGCACCAAGAGAGCCGTTGATGATAGACGATGCTTACAATTTTTGTCACCATGTCGGTCCCTGAATAACTTTGACGTAGAGAAATAGCTATATATACTTTTAGAAAGTAGTCCTTGCATCTCTTAATTTCTCGGAGGAATAAATGTTTTAATCGGTGCATCGCTGCTTGGCAGCTTTTGACGATTCTGAAACCAGATAATGTTCATGCATAACATCTAGATAATAACTTAGCAGTTTTGGAATCATTTGCAGTAATCGATCTCTTTGTTGTTCAATAAACTGTTAGTATAAAGTGCATTTCTACATCACATGACAGTAGATGTAGTATAAATTCTTGATATTATGTGCTGACAATTTGGATAACCTGTCTTTTGCCAAAAAACATCGACATTCGTTATATCTGTAAGGTAGGTACCGATATGTCAGCTCTTTATACAAGGCATCACTAAGTTAACCGTTTATATGTGAGAATTATTTCTGCTTTTAAGGTCATACGCAACGTAGTTAATTTTATTGGGCTCTTCCCTAGAATTGAAGAGTTCCACTAAACGAAGGACCCGTGTGCAATACTTTTAATGTCTATATTTGGATCTGTACATATCCTTTAAAAAAAATTTGATGGAAAAAAATCTGCAGTTAATGTTTCGTAATTTTTTTTAATTTTTCTTTGAATAATGCAAAAATTTTCATAATTTGATATCTTCCAAACACATCTGGTAATGCTTGCTGATTTTTTGTCTATGAACATCTGATGGCACTATAATCTTAAATTAAGAATATTTTGAAAAAGTATCAATAGGTAAGGTACCTTGCGTGTGTCCTTAAGTTCTTTGGAAGGTTACCAGCACTTTAAGGAAAATTATTTGTAGCTTTTTGCTGAGTATTTTCTGTTTGCCAGAATTGTTTCCTGTTCCTTCAAATGTACTTTATTTTCATATGTTTTATGTCAGAATGTTAATAAATATTACATTTCATTTGAATTTAAGGATGATAATAAAAAAAATGAATCATTTCAATTTTTTTAATCTACTGTCTTTACCAAACACATTTATCACATTTCGTGATAAGAGACAATTCTATAAACAGTAGATATGACTATAATTACTCGTAGACTCTATCGAAGACGTTATATCTATAATGACAGCATCGGGGAAATCTTTTTAAAAAAATAGATTTAACAAACAGCTGTGGTAATGATGTCAAGAAGCATCCCCATAGTTATAATTTTCAACCATATTAAATACAAGTTTCAGTTTAGAACAAAAATCAAAGTACTGAGACAGTACTGAAAGACGGGGTCAAATTAGTTTTCATGCTAGATTTCACAAATGTGATTTTTGTAACGAGTTTTGATAAAAAAAATTAGCAAAAAACAAAATTATGAATAATATAAAATCGCATTTTTCATTTAATTTGAAGTAGAAATTTCAATAATTGGTAAGTCTAGAAACCTTTTTGAATTGTCCGAATTTCACCTGGTCCGAATTAATATTTTTCCGGAAGTAAACAATGGATGATGCGTACGCAGTCGTAATACTACGCAGGAGAGTACTTTGTTTACTAGTGTGTTTTACAATTAATATTTTGAGTTTAAATTTACAAAATGCTTCATTAATTTGATTTGGAAATAAGTTCATATCACTTTCTTCAGTTTGATACAAAATGTTTACATTTTGATCAAAACAATTTCTGCACTTTTTCATATAGCGTAGATTTAATTCATGTGTTATCACCACGGCTTCCTTTTTGAGGGTCTCTGACAGTAAACTAATAGACGGGGTCACGTGACCCCGTCTAATCAAATATAATATACAACCAATGAATTATATAATAATTGCATGGATAACTTATAGAGTCTTAGAAGAAAGTCAAAAATTCTGCGAAAACATCGAAGAAAAGTAAGGATTAGATGAGTGCTTGGTTTTTATGCGCCCGGATCGATAAATCCGAGGCGTATATTGTTTTTGTCCTGTCTGCCTGTCTGTTTGTCTGTTTATCTGTTTGTCTGCAAACTTTAACCTTCGCCACAACTTTTGAACCACGAATGAAAGAGACTTCGTATTTGGTATGTATATTTCACTAATTAAGCTCTTTCCAATGACACCAAGGTGAATGACCTTGTGACCTTGACTGTGACCTACATGCTAAAAATAGTTTTTTTCCTTCAAACTTTAATCTTCGACATAACTTTTGAACCATAAAAGATAGAAACTTCATATTTGGTATGCATACACCACTGATTAAGCTCTTTTAAATGACACCAAGGTCAATGACCTTGTCGTCTTGACTGTGACCTATACGCTAAATATAGCTTTTTTGTCGGCTGACAAAACTTTAACCTTCGCCATAACTTTTAAACGAAGAAAGATAGAGTCTTAATATTTGACATGCATACTCCACTAATTAAGCCCTTTTACATGACACCAAGGTCAATGACCTTGAACTTGACTGTGTCCTATATGCTAAAAATATCTTTTTTGAACTTTCACCATAACTTTTGAACCATGAGAGATAGAGACTTCATATTTGGTATGCATACTTCACATACTTCACTAATCAAGTTCGTTTAAATGACACCAAAGTCAATGACCTTGTGACCTTGACTGTGACCTATAAGCTAAAAATATGTTTTTGACTTTGTTGCCATCGGGCGCATAGTGTTTTACATACACATCTTGTTTTTTTTTTTTTTTTTTTTTTTTTTAAAGAAGCATGTACATATATAGTTAGTACCTTACTTCCCTTCAAATGTGATGTTAGAAAATGTTTCCTATTTATCGATTTCAAGTTGAAACTTTTTTGTTCTTTGTAGGTACTATTAAGTTTTCGATAACATTGGTTTGTGCTGTGTAGAGAAATATTTGTGTTAATACTACAATTTTTCACAGTTAACACCCAACGTCTTGTAAAATGATTCTCATAATTTTAATTCAGAAAATAATGAATATTATGAATTTGGCAGTCCCTTGGGATAAACACTTTAAGAATTCATGGTATATTCTGAGTGTACAGTGAAGAATTGTGAACGTCCATTAAGATTCCCTAATGGAAAAAATTAGACATTCATTATTCATATAATAATTCTGTATATAACTTTATTTTTTACTCTGCTGGAAGGGTTTCGATTTTTCAAACATATGATTAATTTTTTAAATGTTTCGTTTTAGAAAAAACAAGCACCGCGCCGTTCTCTTTCATCAATAATTAACTGGAATGTGATATTTTGATATTTCTTCAGGCGACAAATTTTATCCTCGAGCACGACGATCTGTTGAGTGGATAATGGCATATAATTACTGCAATGGATGTGTTGGGAAATAAGAATTAGCAGCTACTGAGAGTGCTTTATAGCCCAGTACTTCCGGTAATCTACTTTACTGTATCCTAACTTTTATTTAGAATTCCGTTTCTAGCGATCATTTATTACTTAACATGGTGTCTAAAAATATCCAGGCCATACTATGATAAAAAAATTTTAAAGGCATTTATTGGGTTCCTTTATTAGCAGACCTGTTTTATTATTTCTATGAAGCGCAATTTATTCCAAAAACTTCTTCATGAGAAAAAGTAAACTCCTATTGTGGCCTTTAACTCAGCATTTAGATACAGTATTTCGACGAAGTTGAAATAATTGAAAATAGTTTCGTCCATAATTGTTTTCCTTTATTAGCTCTTGATGTTGCCTTCAACTCAGCATTTAGATAAATATGTATCGAAAAGTTTTATTAATTTCATTCAAATGTCGACTCAGTATATTCCAGTGAACTCGAAATAAATGATACCACAGAATCTGCCACTTCTGTTGCATATTTGGATGTTTTACTGCCTACAGACGATAATGACCAACTTATAACTAAACTATGTGACAGTCGGAATAACTTCAGTTTTTCCATTGTTTACTTCTATCATACATGTGAATGTAAGAATATTCAAACATCACTTGCATTATTTTGGTAATATATTTCCCAACTGATTCAATTGCAAGATCATGCTCTAAGTAAGATAATTTTTTTTTAAACCGAGGCAAGCTACAGATAAATAAGTTGATGTTGCTAGAATTTCAGCGCATCCCTTTAATTATAGCTTTTCGAAAATTCTACGGTCGTTATAATGACCTTTTTTTGTAAATATAACTTATCGCTTGCCATGGGTCGTTGTTTCATATCAATTGTTTTATTGCTTTTATACTGTCTAAATTTGACTACGGAATACTCCGTCTGTCTGATCAATACATAGGTCTCACGGTGGATGTGATCGGTCAACAGGGGATGCTTACTCCTCGTAGGCACCTGATTCCATCCCCGGTGTTTCCAGGGGACTGTGTTTGTCCTGTTCACGATTCACTTTGTCGATTCTATTTATGAGATTGATCAATGTCCGTGATCTTCGCCTCTTACATTGCAGCAATGAAGTAATTGATCACTTTGTAAGTAGATAAACTGTTAGTATAAAGTGCATTTCAATAGCACACGATTATACGTAGTGTAAATGTTTGATATTCTGTGCTGGCAACTTTGACATCATTGTCCTCTGCCAAAATAAATCAGCAGAACCATTTGTTAGGTCCGTAAGGTAGGTATTTCAACTCTTAAACGTGAGTTTCCCTGATTTTCATTACTAAGGCGGAGCGACAGCATTGGGGTCAACAGTTTTCTTTAGAATTCAGAGGGGAAAATGTATTTTTTCAAAAACCTGCTCAAGAACAGCATGACCAAGGTTATTTGCTTGTTCAAGCCCATGAGCCTTTTGCTCTGCAAGGGATACAATTAAATGGTGCTAAAAAAATATATGATATATATTATATTATGAATTTTAATTATGAAACCCAAAATTTCACTATTAAACATAGTACAAAATCTACTTTGATCTTCATGCTTATTTGGAATGTTCATACTTCTTTAAATATAGTTCATTCAATTTCAATTTATAGGGTTTGAAATCATTTGGTTTAATATAACTGAAAAGAGACATTCTTTGTTCTAGAAAATGGTTATACTGCAGAAGCCTTCAAAATGAGATATTCCACTCATACAATAACAAAAGTGTCCTTATTTGTTGGGGCCACTGCTATCAGCACAATGGCTCTCGCCGTGGCTACTCATAACTGGATTATAGCGGACGAAACCACGTACGTACAACCCAAAAATATCAATTTTTTTTTTTACATATTCTGTCTTTTTAAAAAAAAATCCTTAAAGGACAACAAAGCTTTTAAATTTAACAAATCTGAATATGCATTGTGATTAGGAGCACATAAAAATGTTAACAATTTACCTAGGATACTCGAGAGGTTAGTTGCTCGATTGTATTTGAAAAATCATGTAAAAGAACAAGAACATCAAGACCTTAGCTTTCTCTGATGTAAAACTCTGACAGTATTTATCTTATTGATGATGATATTAATAATCGAATTAACTTGAAAAGTATAACATATCTTGTAGAATGAGAAAATAGAAATGTTCATAGCTTTTGTCACATTAAAATCTAATTCAATCATAAACTTGGGTTTAATGTCATGTATTTTTCATTATAAAAAAATTAAAGGTTTGCTAAACAAAACTTATGTGTTGATTAGTCTATCGACATGATAACATTTGTGACAATAAAGGAAATGCATAAGCGGTATCAAAGGAATATGTCGTGTACCAATATTGACAAACATATGAAAATAAAAAAAGAGAGGATCGACAAAGGTTTATGCTACATATTGTTGTCCGGGAAACTTTGCTAAACCAACCATATCTTTAACATGTATCAATAATTAGCAAAATCACGGGTCACGCTCATATTGGGTGTTTAATTACGTAACTTTTGTTTATTTTTAGAAAGCCTTTAATGCCTATTGGAGGTGAAATGGAAGCAAATGACACATTTCTGATGGAGTCTCCTGCGATCCGTAAGATATGAAAAACTTTGAGAAATAGACTTTTACAGAATCTATAATGGGTACATAGTTCACACCATCGCGGTATCAAGCCTTGGGTGGATGGCGCGATAACGTGATGATGACAATCCGATGTCGCAACAATGTGATGATGACAATCCGATTATCGATGACTCGATGGTAGTATGACGAAGTACAGCGATCTTCTCTATCTTTATATTGCATATCACTATAGTACTATATAATTGTCGCGTCATAGATATTGCAGCATTGGATGCTGTCGATGCCCAATACCCAATGTGCGAAATGTGTTGAAATAGTGAACTACTTGGCTCTCTCCAGATTCTTTAGATTCCGCTTCAATGATACAAAATATACCGTATTATGTATGCATTTCTCCGATGTACAAGTTTCTTTCGAACTATATCGTATTCCACAAGATTTCATGTCAGATCAAGACCAAAGTGAAATTTACAAAAGTCACCCCCATGGTGCCATGGTGTTTCACAAGCACATCTAGTGAATAGTGAATGGCCTTATCCAAATATCTAAAAAATATTAACAGGCACTCACTAGATAATAATTTGAAACTTTCTACATTGTACTTGGATACCTTTTCATGATAGCATATATATAAATTATGCTTGCAAAAAGATGATATAATGCAATAATTCTGCATTATAATTAACAAACTGTTATTTTTCTTTTATAGCCTATCTAACGAACATAACAACACACTTTGGACTGTGGCAAGTTTGTATGACTCTCAAAATGTGGTACCCTTCTAACCCATTCCCAGGTTAGTTGTCTTCTATTGTTTAAAGTTGCGTACACTTGATGTTTCTCTTTCGCTTCTGTTAATATCTTAGTGAGGAGTGAAGAAAGAGGCTTAGTTGAATATTTACTGGAATACGCTATGTATGTTCGTTTGAAAGGATTTTTACGAAGTTTCGGGATTCAATATAGATATGGTAATTCAAATTAATTTTGGTTGTTTGGGAATGAGTTGGATTTCCACTTGTAGAATTAAATCCAAGTTCTTATAAAATACTATTTATATAATGAGCCTTACAAACGAAGACAATTTTTGTTACCTGCTTTATCAGCGACTGTAGCATAGATCTGATACATTTAATCCATTCTGACAAAGTGTCAAGGAATTCATCTTTTATATTCTTAATATTAAATTGCATGGTCAGAAAAAGAATTGACCAAAGTGAGAGTTGTGACACACATTGGCCCCTTTTGTGTTTATGGTAACGACGAATTCCTGTAATTGAGACAACATGTGCATGGACTATCCTTGCACATTCATATTTTATCAGAAGAAACTAATTGTTTAAGATTTCAATAAAAATACTACACATATATGGTAACATTGTAAAACACTGCTTTTTTCTCCCTCCACAGACTGGAATGACACGGCTCCTAATGTGATATGTCAGAGTTTGTTCGAGTACGAATCGACATCCTCTGAGGACAAATCAAAGCAAGAGACAACATTTAAAATAGCTGGTAATTAATGTTTGGTGTTTTTATTCCATTTGACTCGTATTTAGTTTATAAATTAGATACAAGGCGATCATTATTTAATGATTATGAATTTATAAAATTTTCATTTGGACTATTTAGAATATAAAAAGAGATTTCTTTGTGCTAAGATTAAATAATCAGATATATTTTGAAAGATCATTCCATTCATTTGGTTAGTATTTGAATTAAATATATGGAGATAACGAACCGTATTCAAGCTCAAAAATCCAGAAAACAATACAAAATAGGAGCAGAGCAAGCAAGGACCCCCAAATCAGAGGTGGGACCAGGTGCCATGGAGCAGAGAGCATCCCCTACCGACTGGCCACACTTGCTGTAAGCTCTTTGTCATGATCGGGAAATAATGGGAAAATCCGTCAACAATTTAGTGTGTAAATAATGGCCTAACAATTTGTATGAAAAATATCGGTCAACATTTGACTCGATGATAAATTTGGTGTTTGCTGTCATTGTATCGACCATAGAACTTACGAAATGATTACTTTAAACAAGACATGTTGTATTCTTGTTTCATCGACTTGTTTGTCAGTATTGTACCTCGTCTTAGAAATTGTTCGTGCATAGAGCATGCTCTTGCGTATCGAATCAGCTGAGAGATATAAACCCGCAGGCAGGTGATGAAGGTATATTGCGGCATAAGTAAGGGAAGTTGACGATTAAAAAGTTAAAGTGATAACGTTTATCATTAAGCTTGGTTGTTAGATTGGCATTAATGACTCGTTCAAGTAAAATATCCGAATATGAAATATGTCAAACTCCGTGGTATATTTTTCTCAAGCTCATCGAGATATATCATGTCGACATAAGAATGGAAATAACCATTGTTAATTGACAATACGTTATCGATATATCTAAATGTCGAGTTGAAGGCCACAGCAAGTGTTTTCCTCTTTTCACGCATAAGATTTTGAACAAATTCTGCTTCATATGAATACAAAAATAGGTCTGCTAATAACGGGGCGCAGTTGGTACCCATGGGAATTCCAGTAGATTGTTGGAAGACATGGTCTCCACAAACCACATATATATTGTCAATCGGAAACTCAAGCATCTTTTCAATGTCAACTTCAGAGTAATTGTGTGTACAATAAGGAAGATTTTTTTAACAAATTAATTTTGCAAATAATCAATGACCAGGTACATTTTTGTAAGTAAATTTATGTGTTCCATTTTAAATGGAAAGAGCAGCTGTCTGTGATATAAAAAATCCTTGACTTGATTTTATCGAATTGGGAATGGCTTACCAGTTTACCAGTTTATTATGAAAAGATACCAGTTTATTAATATCTCTATGTATGGCTATGTATAAAGTTAAAAAATCGGAAACTGTTGTTTTTGGTTAAGTCTTGTGATTTCAAATTTTACAAAAGTTCCTTAGAATTTTTAAGTATCCACATCTGATTTACACCACTTCTTGAATATATTGCACTGTTGCATAGTAGTCTTGAAATTTCTCATTCACTACTAATAATATCTTAGTGAGAAGTAAAGAAAGAGGCTTGGTTGAACATATACTGGAACCCGTCATGTATCTTTGTTTTTAAGGAATTTTATGAAGTTTGTGAACCCAATATAAATATTAAATATGGTAATTCAAATTTACTTCGGTTGCTATACTATTTCAAGAGATAAACGTTTGATTTTTTTCCTATTTTAGAGTCTCAGAGGAATACCGCGCCTTTCTTTGTGGTAAATCTATGCTTGATGCTATTGGCCGCCATTTTTCACGTTGTGGGTGTGGTCAAACAGAATAGTAGGACGCTCATCGCAGGAATCATTTACATCATCGCAGGTATAAGCAGCCTCAAGATTGACATCTATCATGATTTCAACATAAATGAAATTATTAAAATATAGTTCATAACAGATTTGAATATATTTTTGACACAAATGTCAAATTCGGGCTGCAAATTCCACTGCAAGGCAAATCCTGAGTTTTTCACTGCTATCTAGAAACCTATGTCTATGTTTTGGGGCAAAAATTGTCCGTTTTCTGTCGTTATTGTAGTCGGTGTCGGTGTCGTCATGAACTTTTCAGTTTCATTTCTTCTTTAGAACTGCTCGACCAATTTCAACCAAACTTTACATGGGGATTCTGAATATGATGGCGTTCTATGGAATGTTTTTGGAATGTTTTTAAAAAAATCTGTTTTATGCTATGTGTAGAATTTAATCCTGGATATTACTACCGCGAGTGTACATAATTTGAAAAAAAAAAACTTGAATCCACACAACATGTAATATCTTTTCATACAATTATGGCTTAGTGTTGACCTGCAACTTTAAAAAAAAAATTCCGCCGTCGTTCTTTCTTTCCGTCCGTCTGTATTTTTTGAAAAACTTTTTTCGACTTCTTCTCTAGAAGCATTGGGCTTTTCAACTAAACTTGCCACAATACTAAAAGGATTGAGATTTATTTTACTTTGGAATATAACGAAAAATATTTTTTAAAATCTGACATAGAATATATATATATATATATAGATATTTCACTTTTTTCATGATTTCTAGATTTGTTTGAAATTCAAAAGTAGAAGAGCCACAATAAATACCGGGTAAACATGCAAGTATTATCAAGTTGCATGGATACATTTTTTTTCAGACAGTGGAAGCTGGAGTTATACATTGTGGTTGGGCAAAAACTGAAGATCATATTTTTCACAATACATAAATTTATACATATTCCCCAGAACAAGAGTATGTTAGTCATATTGAATGACATATTGTCATTAAATACTTGTATGTGTTTATTATAAATTTGAAGGAAAACTGTATATAAGTTTAACAATGAACTTCGTGTGTATAAAAGAAGATGGAATGGCTGGAACCATGTATTTGAAAACATAAACATCTAGATATAATATCATCTATTGTATTATATTTGTGTATTCATATTTTTTTTGTTTTTTCATGATATTCCAAAATGTACATTTTCAACTCTCCCAGCCTTGGTGTGTGTATGTTTGTGTTTAAAGTCAATAAAAAATGTTAGGAATATTGAAGATTCCCGGTCCAAGGTATGGTTAAGACATGACCTTAGAGCTAGGAGGGGCCACAATCAATTTTCAATGTAAATGAATAAGGAAAAAAATATTTTATAACAATCGTCTTGTAAAAAAGCAGCAGGGCTTATACATTTCTTGAGGGTCCTCTTGTTGTAAGCGTCTTTATCATTTTTAGATTTTAAACTTTATGTAGTGACGCTGAACAATTTTGCTGAATACATGTACTAGTATTTTAATGCTGTTGTATACAGTTGTCGATCTCTAATGAAAACTTCACTTTGTAGGCCTGTCCACGGCGGTTGGGATTGTGTTGTACATTACATACGTTAACGACGGCGTCCATTATGCAGACCCAGAGAAGGAAGATTTACATTTCGAATACCGCTATGGCTGGTCCGCTTACGTACTCACAATCTCTTACTTGTCCTCACAAGTGGCTGCAGTCCTCTGCATTACGTTATTTTTAAAGAGGTATCCCAAGGTTGACGATCTGGTGAAACTAATTCCAGGACTTGACAAGAAAGTGCCCCCGACAGATACTGCTGACGCAATATGCGACCATGGAACATTGATATAGGACTATATTAAAGACTTCTTCGTGGTTGTACTAAAACAAAATTGATTACAAAATACATCTACATTATTATGCAACGTGTCATTTTATGATTCTGGGACATAAATCTGAAGTTGAGCATGATTTGTAATTGAAATCCCATTTAGCCAATATTTTGAAAACATACCTATGTATTTTGTTGGGTAAGTGGGAATAAACCTAGCTATACGCCATACTGACTTTTAATTCTTACGTTGGCTTAAAATTAGTCAAGGGACTTTTGACCGCTTAAATCCGACTTTAAAATAAGTTGGGGTGTTTAAGAAAGATTTTTTGTATACACCCCTTTATACCTATCATTGTACAAATATGCACACCATGCATCCATAAGAAGAAAGACAAAAAGTGAGCAATAAGATACCTTTCATGTTTGAATTACTTTATTGAACATTAATTGAAATACAAAAATTAAAGTTAAGCTGCAAACTTTATTTTTATGCTTTAAGTTAATCATTTTCACATTGAAAAAAATCGACAGATAATTTTTAAATATTTCATAATTAAAAAAATATATACATATATCCGTCAATGTCACGACATTTTTTACAAAATTACTAGACATATCAGTCGTATGTAAGGATGTTATATAAACCAAGGTGATCAGATTTTTTTTTCAACTTTACATATTTATAGGAGAAATCTTACACTTGGCTATGGACTTGTTAGTATTGTTAGAAAGTAATTCTTATCTTCTTAAATTATCATGACTTTTATCTTAATTGCTCTCGAGTAATCCTTTTAACACAAACATGTAAAGAAGCGGTAAACAGAATGGAATTCCAAGAAGAATAATTTTTGAAAGTCATAAAGATGACTGTAAAAACAAACGTTCTCACCTAAAGTAAATAAATACAATTGAGAACAATGTGGTTTATCGCTTCAAGTTTTTACAAGGCATCGGAAACGACTGTTCTGGTCCCTCTAAGGTCTTAATAGTTTCTATGAATTAACATCTAGGAGATTATTCAATTATTCACATGTCAAAATCCAGTACAGCGGTAATTCCATTATTTCGGCATATGTAATAATTAACGGCTTTTCAACAATGAACTTTCTCCACTGTTTTTATTTCTGGGAAAGTTGTAAATTTTATAATTATCCAATATAAGCGTAAAATCTTAGCCAGGGGGCATAAAACAGTGATAAACACCTATATAATCAGAGAAGTAACAGCACTAAATCATCGCTTCTCGATTCCTACCCAGGGATCCACTTCCCGCTCTGTGGATGTTAACAAGTGTCAGATTCAAAGCTTCATGATTCGTTGATTATTGATTATCCCCGCCCCAGGAGGAATTTTTTTTTTATCAGCTATCCCAGCTGCGTGGGGTAGGTCAGAGGGTCAAAGCACGCTCACTTACAGCAAGATGAGTTCTGGATCTGAGCAAAATCACCATGATCACAACCGAAAGATGACAAAAGAAGAGATTATTGAATTTTTGGTAGGTTTCATGATTTTAATCAAAATGTGGATGAATAGTGTTTTCTATATTAGAATGAAGTCTTTACTTTACTAACTGATTAACACATAATGATAATATAAATCGGAACAATTTTGTGCTTGGTTTTCCTTTTTGTAACATCTTCATAAACTGTTTATGTATTTTTTTTATTTTATTTGTTTGTTGTTGTTGTTATTATTATTTTTTGGTTATCTCTGGTGTAAAATTGCAGATGATTATTTGAAATTTAAAAGATTATCTAATATTGGTCGCAGCGGCACGATTCACGTTTTGTTTATCCGGAGAATTACACTCTGTGCGTCCAGGTTTATGATTTATTTTTCGATAATTTCATTGGTCACCATTTTCCCGCACCTCTACAATCTTCTGCTCGAAAAGTGGCATGAGTGACGAAGAAGAAAGTACTCAAGGAAGGAAAACGAAGGAAAAACGCAATTAAACGTAGGTTAGTCAATGCTCACACTTGCAGTTGCAGGTCGTGCAGGGCATGGTTTTATCAGCAATGTAAAGCGAGCATCAAGAGGTGTCACTGTGTTCGCAGCACTCACTGACTCGGCTCAAAGTTTTCTATTCTGTAGGACTTAAAATGGAAATTCTTCACTAGTCTGAATGTCGTTTGGAAAACTTTGGTTGAAAAGTCATGGGATTTGTAAGTGTTTAGATGTAGGGGAGAGTTTGTTCATGTTTTTTTTATTGAGTGGCTAGCAGGGGCGGATCTAGGAGTGAAATATAGGTTACCTCTCTTTATACCTGTGTAATGCAACCAGGATATCCGATGTGTCAATCCCAAGTGGAATATGAGACAACTCTTGGGGTTTTAAATCAGATTTTCATTTTATTGTGAATGCACCGTCACTTCCTTGAAAATCCTGTGGATATCGTCAGTGTTGCACGTTTTTGTGAGGATTTGAATACTTGTTCTTGTGGAAATAATGTGAAATTTTCGACTGGCATACTTACTGGTATAAATGTATGATATGCAAGGCAAAAAAAAAAAAAAAAAATCAAGTGAAGGGGCCAAAGTAAAACGAGAGGGTTAATCTCTATTTCTTGAGAGTTTATTTATATTCTTCATTAAAATACTTTTTTCTTACTTTTAAAAAAATCTATGTCTCTAAATTTAAGTTTGTTTTGAACTGGACTTCGTCAATGTGGGATTCAATATTATTTTATGTAACAGTCCACTTACACACAGAGTTTTGGAAGGTTTAAAATCATTTTCAGACATTTGGCGGCCAAAGACAGGCTTTTTTGGACCGTTTTCACATACCAGATATACATACCGGTACCTTTGATATTTTTATACAGACAGGGAAAAAAGTAACTACAAAGATGTCCTATACAGTTGTCTTTCCATAATACAAAGATTCAGAAATCAGATTGATTGATTATATGGTTAACGTCCCTCTAAAGAATTTTTCACTCAGATGGAGATGCCACCACTTGCTGGACCTATACCCCGCACTCGGGGCCATTGAGCTGTGAGGGATCTTTTTTGTGCCAGCACCTACTGCGACATGGGACCTCAATTTATAGGGTCTCATCAGAAGGACCGATCTCCACATCTCACCGTGGGATTCAAATATGCTACATAAGGATCGATTCCTTACTTTGTGACACAACCAGTGTGCCATGCAGGTGACATCAGTAGTCAGAGACATAAAGAATATATACGTCTTTGCTTGATGAGTCTGTTTTACCTCCATTGCCACGTGCCATCTCTTTTCTTTTTTTCTGACCTTCATCTGTGCATCCTGATCATGATCTTTGCAGAAGTTGCATCATGCCTGATTTTTTCAACCCTCATTTGATATGGCATTTTCTGTACATTTGTCAATTCAGACAGTTTTGTTTACCAACCAGCCTTGCCAAAAGTATCAATAGACTTTCACCACTCTGGTCCATTTATAGGTCTTGTACAGACTGAAGTAAAAATTAATTTTATTGTAGAAAAATATGATACATGAAGGTAGAGGTTGTTCCTGTATGTAACTGTGACTTGAATAATTGGTTCTTAGTTTTAAAAAAAAACCCATCAGATTCATATCTTTTTTTCCATGAATAATGGAGTAAACTGAGGATGGTTCATTTTAAATTGTTGTTTGAATTAGGAGTGAAATGGTTCACCGCGGTATTTTTTTCTGGGTTTGATACACTGTACAAAATCTCTACTTTCGGTTCGGTTTGTTTTTCGGTCGGGATCGTCATTTAGTCGGGTTTGGCATAAGGTATAAACATGCTTCTCTGTATAATTAGTTCAAAAACGTAAATTTTTGTGGACTTAAAAGTTTGTAAAATAATTTTTAACAGTCAAATCAATTTGGGGGGCTGACCTGTGCAACTGTTGTAAGTTTCTTTGGTATCTTACCCCCTGCATTAGATGAAGTGCAGAGTTATTATTTTCGTCGCTACTGAATGCTGTCTAGTATACATCTGTCTACACTGGTGTTCATTAATTACACTGAAAAGTGACTAAGGCCTAGAAAAAAAATATGTTTGTTTCCACTTTCCCGACCGACCCTAATTTATAGTGCCGACCCTAAATATTTTTTTAATGCTTTTGTCCCATGATGTGCAAGATTTCAACCAGGGAATTATAGCCTCCAACTTTGCAAGCTTTTCAAGACAGAAAGAAGTTTGGGTCACCTTTCTATTATAAGTTAAGTCACAGTAATGCTTGAAAACACATTTCTTTTGTCATTAATGTTACTTCTATACACGTTTTGATTAAAGAAGCAAAAAAAATTTTTTCAAAAAAAAAAAAATTGCCTACCTACCTACCCTATATTTTTTCAGCCTGAAAGCAGAAACAAACATATTTTTTTTCTAGGCCTAAGTGAGCGGCTTTATACCGAACGGCCCTGAGATAAAGTGAGAGACTTACTGGATGATCTGTGGGACAAATTCCTTTCATGATTCATGTTCAGCTTTAAAGTGGCATTTTCAGTTTGGTGTAGATGATGTTGGATATTGTAAATTATTTTATTTGGCATGTATGGTATTTGGTAGAAATCCATTTTCCAGCAAGTTGGGATAAACTGGAAAGTTTTTTTTTTATATAGATATGCAAACATAAGATTGGAGCAAAGTTGCTTTGTTTGAAAGGCTCTAATATGATTGATTGAACATTATTTAACATCCCTCTCGAGAATTTTTCACTCGGATGGAAATGCCACCACTTGCCAGTCCTATACTCCGCACTCAGGGCCATTGAGCAGGGAGGGATCTTTTTCATGCCAGCACCTACTGTGACATGGGTCCTTGGTTTATACAGTCTGATCCAAAGGACTGGTCTCCATGTCCCACAGTGGGATTTGAACCCGCGACATAAGGATTGACTCCTTGCTTCGTGACTCTAGAGCAGATACTCTAACTACTGCGCCCGATGGGTGACTGGCTCTAATAAGAATACACAGCTAAATGTATTATACCCACAGAGAACAAAATAAGAAAACGTAATTTGTGTGTATTGTTCTGTGTAGTTTGCCATTGATATGAACAACTAGAGTATCATTTGGACTAGCAAGGCATTGTTGGAAGGTCCAAATATGCAATCATTATAATCAAGACCCACACATAAGTACTTGCAATGTCAGTTGGAGAAGTGATTTGTAAATTTATTTTGAAACGCAAGGAAGAAAAGATTGTTTAATGTTCCTTTGAGAATTTCGACTCCTATCAAGATGCAACCGTTGGCTGGTAAAGGCCTTCTTATTTAGATCTGTACTCAACATGTATGGTGAGCTCTGAGGGAATTTGGGGCCTCAGTTTTTATACCGTGTTGTCAGAGGTTCAAACCTGGGATATAAAGGTCAAGTGGAAACAAAGGTTATTTAATCATCCAGATTATAATTTCTTGAAGCAGAAAAGTCTTGAATTTCTGTATCCTAATATTGTGGCTTGAAATAATCTTTAGATATGGTTTTCTAACAAATACAGTTACTTTATTTAACTTTTTTTTTTATTACCCTATAACGTAGTAAACATGAATGGTTATAGGATGGAAATCGTGTACTGAATTCTAAATTCTTGCTCAGTGAAAATAAGCATTACCAAATGCTTGTACGCTGACAGCAGGAAGAATTAAATAGTTACATCCCCATAAAGCTTAACACATTTTATTATGATTAACCTAACCACTGTTAATTAAATGTCTTGCAAATTTTAGAACAATAAGCAATAGAATTGTTTCATTTTGCAAAACATTCTGTAAACAGTTAATCATATGAAATGAAATATTTTTCACTGAATTTTTATTTTTGGACAAATATTGAAATAAATTTTGATAATGAACAAGTTAAAGATTGATATTAGTTTATTTTATATTATGAAATAATAAATAATTGAACAATTTTTTAGGTGATGGCATTACAATCAAACGGTCAAATATTGTCTAGACAAACTATGGGTGCAGAGCAAGAAAGAAGAAAATCCACTCGAATTGGGAATATAAAGAAACCCAAGAAGTTGCTCTCTGAGAGATTTGGATCTATCGCTAGAATGGAGACAGGGCTGAAAAATCCACAGCATGATGAATGTGGAGCAAGTGTCCATCCATTAAACCAGGAGCTCATTGACTTTGAGAGAGGAACACTGCACAGAAAGTACAACAATTTAAAAGTAAATGTGAAAATTGGAGTTGTGGATCAAACTCTCTCGGGACCAGATTTCAATAACGAGCAAGTTACCTATTGTCCAGTATCAGAGGATGCAGTTCAGAAAAACAGCCATGGTTCTATTCCTCTCAATAAAGATGTAAATGTCATCAAGCCGTATGAAGAGAGTACCAGTCTGATGCAAAATGCTGTAGGACGAGAGAGCTACAGAGAAAAAATGAACTCTTTCTCAAGACAAGATTGTAATGTTCTAGATAAAGAGCAGCAGGAAGTTCATGCACCAAGGTCATCCTACAATGATATAAAATGCAAACAAATTCAAACTAATAATAAAATTGGGAGCTCAGAAGCTATCAAAAGGCCGTTCTTTTATGCTGAACAGAACAGTGTTCCTCCAAAGAAGAGATACACCATAGATCAGGAGATGCAGAAGGAAAGTCAGAAAATGGTGGACTCTTTTGATAGATGCACAAACAATAATTTGGTGAACAATAGAGTCAATGGTTATCAAGCTAACCTCCAGCAAGGGGAGTCAACACCATCATCCACTTGCTCAGATCTGAATAATTTGATGCTCTTTGAGGGCAGAACTCTATTAAAAGGGGGTGTAAATCCTCGCCACATCCCAAAGAATATTATTGAAAGGCATGACAAAGAACCTCCAACTGATCCAAGATTGCTACGGCCAAATTATGGACAAGAAAACCAAATTGTAGAATATAAAGTTCTCATGTGGCATAAAGACTGGCTTTTGGACTACACAAGGATGTTGATAGATGAAAGGCAGTCACAACTGAAGAAGAGAGAACAAGAGAGATTAAATGCAAGCACAATGAAGGAAAGGGATGAAACACGTAAGGAGAAGTTAACAAAATCAAAAAATCCTACTAATGAAGGGGAACAACTTACAGAAGTCAAAACTGTAGCAGGTAAAAAAGTTGACTCAAGGTCATTGGTAGTCAATATACAAAGGATGGAGGATAGCAACAATGCCACTCTCAAAGCAGCTGTTTCGCGACTTGTGGAGGATGTGAGAATTTCTGGAGCAGTGAGCAAACAGTGTTTTGAATATGGACATTCTGGAATAAAAACAGAGATACCGCCAAATTCCAATGATCCCAGACTAAAGAACAGATGTCGGCAACAGTCTAACAACACTGAGAGAATTTATCGTAAAAGTAGTGAGACAAAAAAAGAACAGTTTCATAAAACTGAGGGTGAATACACAGCATCAAGAACATTCAAGGATAATGGTGAAAAAAGGCGTCAAACATCACAGAGGTATGATGCAAAACTGAAAGATGTGAAGAAAAATTCTCCAAATGGAGTAAGTGTGTCTCGTGGAAAAACCGGAGCTGTTCTAAGAGAGGACAGTAGGTCTAACTCACCAAATGTTGACTTGGAGGACAAAGAGTTTAAGGTATTGCAAAGCACTGCAATGCACTCTACCTACTACAATAGAAACTTGTCCCCGATTTACCAGGAGAAAGAACATTACAACAGCTACAGGAAACCTCTGCCAAAAGCGTATCAAGTCAGTAATAACTGGAATTCTAAAGGGAAAGATAGAGGCTTGGACAGGTTTCCTCAATTCTCCCAGCAGAATTGGTACTGAAGGACAGACAATTTCTTAAGCAAGGAAAGACAAAAACAGCATTTTATATATTATATTTTTTGAGATCTTTGATCAAGAAATCCAAATATTTTTAGATTTGTTCTATTTCAACAGATCATGTTTATGTATGTTCAAAATAGATGTGTATTTATTGCAATAGAAACATTTGTGTTAATTTACATATATGTAAAGAATTGTGACCATTCTTTTGCTTGAAATTGGGAAACAAGACAGCATAGTTATTCTGCCTATCATGTAGCAAGGGATGCATAAATTTTCTTTTGACTGTAGGAGTGGTTCATTCTAAAATACAAACAAACAAAAGTAAAAATGAAAACATTTTTGTTAACAGTAAACTGAACCTGTGTTTAATTAATAAGAAAGCAAAAAATCTCTGAAGGAAAAGATCATAAGGCCTAGAAAAAAAATATGTTTGTTTCCGCTTTCCCGACCGACCCTAATTTATAGTGCCGACCCTAAATATTTTTTTAATGCTTTTGTCCCATAATGTGCAAGATTTCAACCAGGGAATTATAGCCTCCAACTTTGCAAGCTTTTCAAGACAGAAAGAAGTTTGGGTCACCTTTCTATTATAAGTTAAGTCACAGTAATGCTTGAAAACACTATTTCTTTTGTCATTAATGTTACTTCTATATACGTTTTGATTAAAGAAGCAAAAAAATTTTTTTCAAAAAAAAAAAAAATTTGCCTACCTACCTATACCATATATTTTTTCAGCCTGAAAGCGGAAACAAACATATTTTTTTCCTAGGCCTAACATGAAAATTACATAAAATTAGTACTGGATTAATAATGCCAAAAGAAGTTAATTTTAAGATTATGATTTTAGTTTCATAGATCTCTAAGGTGGATAGGTTATTTTTTGTTTTAAATTTAACTATTCTGCTCCAAATATTTTTAATGATAAATATTTATCCTAATTAAAATTTCTCATAATTAATACCAATACCATCTTGACAAAAACAAAACACAAATATTGGTAAATAAAAAAAAAGGTTATTACAATTCTTGTTTTGCTATTTTTGTGAGATATGGTACCTTAAATAATGTGTGTTCATTTTTGTTGCTTAAAATTTAAAAAAAAACTTGCATGTACTCTTAGGTAAATATCCTGAACAACTTGACAAACGTTTGGTCTTAACATAATGAATAAGCAAAGTTACTGGCGAGAATATTTGTGAAGCACTGTGAACAGTAAAATACATGTAAATCATCAGTGTATATTTTGATTTATAGCATAATTTAATTTTGTCTCTGCAAGGTCTTAGGTCATATTTCTGGATGTTGATAAAGCAGGCTTTGTTTTAGAAGCTTTATTGTGTCACCCTAGATATGGAGTTTATGTATGCTAGTTTTTAAAGTTTTATAATGTACCACAGGGAAGGACACTGTTATATCTAAATCTGTTGCATAGTATTCAGAGATCTTAACCATTTATACCATTTACTATGTAGAAAGTTGGACTCACTTTATGTTTAGAACATCATTACCATGAGGCCAAAAAAGTATATGTGTTTCCTGACTAACCACACACCAACACTATTTCTGTTAATTCCAAATTCAATTTTTCAGCTATAATTTTGTTCATTTATAGTACTGTTTTCTTAGAATGCAGTCAATAAAAGGCACATCTAAGGCAATGTAAAGAACATGTATATCCAAATGTTTTAAAGAGTTGACTTGTTATGTTGTGTATGATTGTTGAATTTCATACATAATTATGTATGCGTATTTATTATAGGATTAAACGTTCTTTTTTCAGAATTTATCGATGTGTAAACTCTGCCTTTTTACTCACAAACTGAATAAAAGTGCGAAGCACTTTTATGTAAAGTTTGTGAGGAAAAAGGCAGAGTTTACACATCGATAAATTCTGAAAAAAGAACGTTTAATTCTTATAATTCCAATTACGAATTTTTAAAATTATTAAAATTATTTCTCTTTGAGGCCGCCATACAATCCGTTATTTTGTACGGCGTAGGAATACTTTATGCCGCAAAGAAACGTATACAAGATGAATATCGATAAAATCCAACTTAAATTGTCAAGACAATCAATAAAATAAACTTATAAAAACTCATTGAATGTTGTTTAAGTCAACAAATATCGTAAATACGCGTATTCTCCAGAATAATTCGTCCTTGACCATGGCTATGTTGACATTAGATCTAACGACGTCATAGCGAAACTTGCAGACCGACGACGTCCTCGATTTACTCTGGTTCGTTCAAAGATTTAGAGAGAATATGGGATCTGTAGGATGTAAATATATGAATTTGATGCTGAAAAGGCAAGAGTCTGAGGTACGTTTCTTTTCCCTATCACAACGATACCAACTGAGCTGATATGGAACGTCGAAAAAATGACATCATGATCAGCGATTTTTTAAAATTAACACTCGTAATCCGACAGTGATATAAACATAATATTCCCGTCTGTCAGTCCTGTTTATCTCCTTTTCATTCATTCATTTTTTATTTCCAGTTTCTTGTAATCATAATTTAGCTAAAACGGAGTAGAAGTATCTGTTTTCATTGTTTTTACATGTACAACAGTCAAGAAAGTAGTTCTGATTGAAAAATTCATCGATGTGTAAACTTTTTCTTGAATTTGTTCTCGTCCAATCAAAACACAGGTAATCAATAAATAGAATTAAGATTGGAATTATATACATGTATTACCAAAAAGGAACTTGTTGATGCTTTCGAGAGAAAAAGTAAATCTATCAGAAATTATTGCCAACCTACTTAAAAACCTTATTTTATTTTGGCTGTTACATGAAGGTTCGGAAACGTACATATATTTTATTTGGCCTGAATATTGTAAGTAGTGCTCTGTATAGACATTTAATAAACGTTTATACCGAATGTTTATTTGAAAATTTAATAAACGACATAAGCGGATTTTTTTGCAAATCTTTTGTCTTAATGGCGAGTACCGATCTATGCGAGCGGATCAAAGGATCCGATTTTAATCGGATTGTTCCTTAGCTGGAAGTCGCCTGTTTGGCGCAGTGGATAGAGCGTCTGCTCAAGTAATGCGAGGTAAGGAGTCGATACTTACGTCGCAGTTCAAATCCCACTGTGGGTTGTGAAGACCGGTCCTTCGGACGAGACCGTATGAACTGAGGCCCCGTGTCGCAGTATCACTGCTCACTGGCCCCGAGTGCCGAGCATAGGACAAAAATGTAGCTCTCCACCGGCAAGTGGTGGCGTCTCCAGATAGTGAAAAATTCTCCTAGAGAGGGACGTTAAACAACATACAGACAATTCTTATCGATATCAGAAAAAGGAGAAGAATCCGACGGACTAGACAGGGTTGCGAGCCCGGACTCCTTGAAACAATTAGGCGCTTTACCAAATGAGCTTCAGTGAATCTGGCACCTATTGATCGAACCAACAACTTCTTAAATCAGAAACCCAGCTGAACATGACTTGTGAATAGGAAACACGCCATTTTCGATAATACTATCTCAGCACTTCGCTCTGACTCCTTGCATTCGTTACACCTGACTGCTTTATTGTCACGGGTATCGGCGTGGAATGGCGACCCGTGTTCGCGCTGGTAATCTTGCTTTGTTTACATTTTATTTCAGTTACGTATATTTGTGTTTGTATACTGCTCTGACTTGTGCAGTTTGTAAGTTTCTTTAGTGTCTTATTCTCCTGCATTAGAAGATTTTATATTTTGTCGCTACCCAATGCTGTATAGTATATGTCCGTCTACACCGGTGACGATTGAACACTGAACATTACTAAGTCAGACGATTTATCTTTAGGTTCTAAGGTATAGCGAGAGACCGATCGAATATGGCGGACGCATTCCTTTTACGAATCGTGTTCAGCTTTAACCGAGGAGTCTTGAATTTGAGAGAGACACAATTGTGTATCATATTTATTCATTAATTTATCTGCTGAAGGAGAAAAAAAGGTTCTCAATTAAAAAAAAATACATTTGCACTATTAAATCAACATAGACCCCCCACACACCAAAACTCTAGCCCTTGAGTCACACATTTCACAGTTTTAGAAACTCTTGCTCATCATAACAATACACCTAGTAGTTTATTTGCGAAATACTTGTATAAAGGGGAAGGGAAAACTTTTTGAGAACTATGCATTTTCATGGACCATCACCCAACTTCTGAACCCTTGATTCTAGGGCTATGGATTTAAAAAAATTGACAGAAAGCTATATACACAAACTTGCCAACAGTCAACCTCAATAATTTTCCCAATATATAGAATTCTACAGAAAACTTAGCTACTATATCATCATATCCTTGCGCCCCCTCAATAGAAATGGTCTGCTGACCTTCTTTTAAATTCAATTTTGCTTGCCAAGGAATTTTTGATAGTGCCCCTAACTGAATGTTTGGCTTGGCCCCAAACTGAAAATGCTTCCTACGGGCCTGTGATGACTTTATATTTCCATTTCTAAATTTTTTTTTTACACTGTGATAACTCTTTGAAAGTTAGGGGGAGTTTATTTCTTGATAATTCTGCCGTAATGTAAATTATGCAGGTCGATAGGTCAGGAGCTAAGGAGGCCTAATACGCATGCAAATCTCGTGCGCATCTGTCTCTGTGTCTGACGCTAAGGAGGCCAAATATGCATGTAAATCTCGTGCGGCTGCCTTTGTGTTTGACGTCAGTGGGCGAGGACTATTGCAATTGACGTGGAAGTCCTCATGTAATTTAAATCTATTAATTTACATTTTTAAAGTCTAAATCTACAATTTTATTCCACAATGAAATGGAAATATATAAGGAATCACTGTCTAGTTAGTGTAGTATGCCAGGGACATCAACGATAGTGGGAAACATGGGATAATTTCGCCCGTTATGCATAAATTATCCCATGTTTCCCACTATCGTTGATGTCCCTGACATACTACACTAACTAGACAGTGATTCCTTAAATATCCCTCCTTCTTGGGCCCCTGCGGTACAGGGACCACTTGATACACAATTTTATACCTCTTTCTATTCTCCCTCACTAGGGTCATCCAAGTATGAATTAATTATACTCTTTAATGTCTTTTTTCTATACTTATGAGTTAAATTGAAAGAAAAACAAACTCATTCACTGGTTTCCACTCCTAATCCTAATACCATCAACAATATCAGCATCGGGATATATTCCTCGCATTCGTTACACCTGATTGCTCTATTGTCACGTGTATCGGCGTGGAATGGCGACACTTGTTCGTGATAATTATCTTGCATTACCTATGTTTACATTTTATTGCAGCTACGTGTATTTGTGTTTGTTTATGTACTGCACTAACCTGTGCAACTGTTGTAAGTTTCTCCGGTATCTTATTCTCCTGCATTAGAAGATGTACACAGGTATTTTTTGTCTCTACCGAGTGTTGTATATAACCATGGATATAACAAACGTTCGTCTACACCGGTGACGATTGATTACACTAAAAAAAAAGCATGACCAAGTCAGCGGCTTTATATTTGACCCTAGATATAGCGAGAAAACAATCTAATATGGCGGACAAATTACTTTTTACAAATCGTGTTCAGCTTTCATGACATTAACGTTATTATTTCTAATCATCTGTCTTATCAAAAGCACTTGATAAAATGCTTTTATTTCAAAAAGCTGTTTAGAAGACACTTTTGAAACACTTTTGAAAGAATTCCCCCCCCCCCCCCATACACAAAGATTATGTAAAATGTTTTCCAAATTTTGTTATATATAATTAGCTTCAACCTATTCCAGGGTCTATAATTTTATAATAACAAACTAAGAAATACTTGCACTTTAATATGAGTAAGTGTGGCCCATCTCCTTTTTAAAAAATATTTTCTTATATCTGCATGCTGGTGGCTTTGCGCACCCGGCCCCTCGAAAGCATGACTTGAATAAACCCTATCACAGGGAAGCACGACTTGAACCCTACATTTCCAGATGGTTTTTTAAAAAAATATAAAACATGACTAATCTTGCTTTAACTATTCTTGAGAAAATTTTTATGACTTTAACCATACATTTTTATGTAAAATTATGTATCCTCTGTTGTGCCCCCACCCTACATTAGAGACCATGAATTGAATTAATTTGAATATAAACTTGAGCATGAAACTGACTAAACATTGCCCTTCTGTTCTAAAGGAGATTTCTAAACATTTTCTCCAAATATTCCCACCTCAAATTTTGATGTCTCGTGTTGGCCCTAGCCTAACCCCTGGGGCCTCATTTTGAACAAACTTGAATCTAAACTATCTGTAGATACATTGATATCAAAATCATTATTCATGGCTGTTAATGATATTTCAACGTAAAACTTTGATCTATGCGGACCAATTATTTTGTTCCAAGTTTGGTTGATATTAGTTCAGTGTTACTGAAGGAGAAGGGGCGAGTATGATCAAAGAATTGATCAAGTGGCTCCCCAATTTCGGTGATTTTGTTAGCTACGTGTCATTATTATTAACGACATATTGTGTCAAATATGATCGCCCTATCATATGTCATTCAAAGGTTATCATTTTTTAAAATATAAATTTTATATAAATTAAGTAAAATTTGAGGTCAAGAGGTCATAGCATGTTCGGAAATATCTTGTCACAGATATGTCAAATATGAAAGCCCTTACTTTTCTTAATAAAAAGGTAAAAAGTTTCGAAAGGAGGTCAAATGTCAAAGTTTAAGGTCACACGGTAAAAAATCAATGTGTTTTTAGATAGGTCTTGTCATCGGTAATACACATGTTAAATATAAAAGCACTATCTATTCTCATTCAAAAGTGCTGGCCAATTCAAAGCAATGTTTAAGTGTTCTGAAAAATAGGCCAAACTTCAAGGTCAAGTTTGAAAGGCAAGCCAAACTTCAAGAACAAGGTCACAAGGTCAAAAATGAAAGTGTATTTAGAAAGGTCTTATCACAGGTAACACACATGTTTAAAGCCTTTTGTCTTCTCATTCCAAAGATATGACCAAGGATAAAGTTTTTGAAAAGTAGGTCAATTTTCAAGGTCAAGGTCACAAAGTAAAAATCGTAATGTATTTATAAAGGTGATGAAAGATCATAAACATGTTGAAAATGAAACCGACCTCTTTTCATTCTAAAGTTATAATCAATTTTAAGTCTTTCATTTTTTAAAAGTGGGTCATAATTCAGGGTCAATGGGGCAAAATCATAATGTATTTAGAAAGGTCTTGTCACAGGTAATACAAATGTTTAAAATATGAAAGCCTTATGTCTTCTCATTCAAACGTCATGACCAAGGTTAACGTTTTTGAAAGTAGGTAAAACTTCAAGGTCAAGGTCACGAGGTAAAAATCATAGTGTATTCAGAAAGTTCTTGTCTCAGTTATACGAATCTTTAATATGAAAGCCCCATCTCTTTTCATTTGGAAGTTATAACCAATTCAATGTAATATTTAATTTTTTTTAAAAAGCAGACCAAACTTCAAGGTCAAGGGTCAAAGATCATAGTGTATTTAGAAAGGTTTTGTCACAGGTAATAAATATGTGTTATTTGAAAGACTTATTTTATCTTATTCAAAAGATATGACCAAGGTTATGTTTTTGTGACGGACGGACGGACCGACAGACGAATGAGATTGAATGTCCCATAGCTGTCGCGATTGCGGGGGACAATAATTCCCTGCAAATCGGAACTACAATACAATGCTTGCGTATTTATCGTTTCAGTAAGAGGACTAGGATACACACAGTTTAAAAAGAACTTTTAAATTTTTTTTTTAATTTTTCAATTATTTATATTTCCATCTGTTTAATTTTGTCTGTGTATTGTTCAACGATTCCTCTTTAAAAACAAATCAATATAGGGCTTTTTTAACGACATTGCAGAAACCAAAAATTCTCTCTTGCAGACTTTATTGTTTTTATGTAGAATGTCGCTATGTGTAAAATTTATGAAACGTTAAAAAACATTCTGAAATTTATGAATATGAGAATTTGTAACTTAACATTGATGTGGTTCTAATTTGCGAAATCCAGCTTCTTTATTTAGGTCTAAAGAAATTAACAAATACAATGAAAAAATATACCCCTGTATAAAAACTGAATACATTGCAAACTTATACATTACCATTCCAGGTAATGTTTAATCTGTACGGTTATGAATATCTGGTTAGAAATCAAATCCTGCCTACTAATGATTAGTCTTACATTTTGTATATGATTATGGTTACACTATATATGTTAGGATGTATGTGAGTTACAGGAAGATGCTCATCTCAAGATCACAACTCATTTATCTTTTGTCGTAACTGTCCTTATCTTTAGAACCACGAGAGTGTGAGGAACTGGAGTAACTTGAATTTCCTCTGCCTCTTGACTTGTAGCTTCCCCGCCATACTCTCTGATGAAAAAACCCGCGTGAGGAATTAAACCTTCCTCTGTAAGTTGATCCTGGTGTTTTCTGCATTACTTTATGATACAACTTTCCTCTAAAAGAACTTCGAATGGAATCACCGAAGTGACCTTGGTGAGAGAAGTTGAAACGATTTTTTGATGCAAATGGACGTCTTTTTGAATGGAAATAAGAAGTCAAATTTCGATTGTCACCCGCCTCTTCTCTCTGATATGTATGTTCCATGTATGTTTCAGGAAATTCGCTGCGACTGGATCTCCTACTGCTGTTGGTTGCAGCATTCCACGGATTAGAGCCATATAGCTCTTCCATGTTCCTTGTTTGTTTTAAGTATGGCACAAATGGATGCATTGATTGAGTCTGTGCTGTAGATGTGGATGGACCAGATTGTAACTCCTTGCTCATCTGGTCTTTGACCAATTCTATCACCATGTCCGCCATTCTTCCCTCTGCACTGTTATCCTGATTACAATTATCCCTGAATACAATTTTCTTCAGTAAACTTGTCATGGCTTTTGATAACGTTGAATTTACAACAGTTTCGTCACTTGTTGTGATACCTCTCCTCTCTGAAACCTCTGCCTCTCTTGAATCATCAACAAAAGAACTCCTCTGTTCATCCGATGAGTCAAATTGTTTAGGGGTATGTCGTGATTTTTTCAACACTTTCTGGTAATGAATATCTTCCATACCTGTTTCATCATCACATTTTCTTGTGATTCCTTCCCCTTTTTGTCGTTTTGCTTTAGCAATCAAACGTCTCGATATGTCAAGCTTTCTCCTTTGTTCAAGATAAAGTAAGCGCCCGGGCGAGTTTTCCCGAGCACGTATTACTTCAGCTCGGGACTTCCAATTTGTTTTGTGTTCATCACCATCCTTGGCACTGCTGTTGAAAACGTCGTGTTTTTTACCTGTTAGACTTCTTTTAGAACTGCCTGATCTTGATCTTGAACGACTACGACTTGAAAAGCTGATAGGTTCCTTCCATTCTCCAGATATTATTGATAAAGATCTGCTTCTGCTACGGTTTTTCTCACATGAAGAAGAACGTCTAGATTTGTGTTTTTTCTGTTTTTTCTTTTTTGAATGTGATGATTTAGTCTTTACCCGACCTCTTTCGATCTTACTGAGAGAACCAGATCTGCTTCGTTTTCTTTTAAATTTTCTTTTTTGTGTTTTAGTTTGTGACTCTGATCTACTTCGACTTCTGTGTTTTTGTGAAGAATGAAGAGATCTTGATCTGCTTCTCTCTCTGCTGAGTTCTCTGTCTGTGTTTGTTTCGATTTTACAATCAGTACTTGAGTTGTCGTTTTCAGATATATTAAGATGGCACATTCTAGAATCAGAGGAAACTTTATTTTTGTTGTGTTTTCGTTCCGTTCTGGATTTGAGACTTTCGGTTTTAGATTTGTCCTCTGGAGATACGTTTGATTTACTGGTGTTGTCGTACTCATTTTCCTGATTTCTCTTCATTATTTCTACTGTTCTGGTAGTTTCACAATCTGAATTGATATCCGACAGTTTGTGTTCAATATTTGTCTTTGCTGAACTGAGAGAGACGTTTGGATTACTAGTGCCAAAGTAGTCAGACATGCTCATAGGTAACTTTTTAGTTGGTGACAATGGCTTCTCAGCAAACACCTCAGTTAAAACCCGTGCTGTCCTCTCAAAGTCACTGGTGTCACTGTATTCTGGAAGATAGGAGGAGAATCCCATGTTTCTTGGATGGAATTCGTCCTTTTCTTGTTCTTTATCATTCTCACAAGTGTTCTGTTTTTCTGACTTTGTATCATCCATAGTAGCATTTTTACCATTTTCCAAAATCTCATTATTTGTTGATTCTGTTGTTTTTGTATTCTCTTGATCCTTTTCATTCTGAATTGCTTTAATAGCATTATCCAGTTCTTTCAACACTTTCTCAACGTCATCTTCATTTTGTTCAGGTTCCGGTTCCTGTTTAATGGCTTGGATGGGAAGAATATCTTTCATTTTCTTTACTGAACCTTTTTCATAACTTTGATCATCAGGTGGTTCCTCTTTGATTCGACGTAGGAATGGTCCAAAACCAGCCATTACAGGACTCTCTATGATACAACCCATAGCACGCAGTAGCCTTGGGTCTTTCACTGCCTTTTTATCACAATTTGGTAGTTTGATTCCTCTCAACTCATGATAAATGCTCTGAGTATCTGGCTCATCAATTGTTATCCTGACAAGCTGATATCTTGGTTCTTTTGAAGCATTTTGCATAGCTGATGTTTTAGATTTTGTTGATGCTGAATTTCCTATTTGTGTGTCCTTTTGTTGCGAGTCATTCATAGACGTTGTACTCTCTGGTGTAAAGCAACTGGAAAACTCATTAGATCTCATCCAGTTATTATCCTCCGCCCCCCGATTACTATTTTTATGTTCCAAACATATTTGTGAGGTTTCTGGTTTATCTATGACATTTGGTGCAGAATCCATACAAATCTCAATCTTTGGAAACACATTTTCGTTGTTACAGTGTAGTTCATCTTGTGTTGGTGTATTACTGCCACTGATAGGTCTATTTCCTGTGTTATTGCCTTCATTTCTTACACTGTTTACTGATGTCATTTCCTTCTCTTTTGACTGGGATTTCTTGTCAGGGAGAGGTTTGTCGAAAATTTCAAACACGTTCTTTTCTCGTGAAATTGATCTGGGTGGTGTACTTTTGGAATGTAATCTTCGACTGTTATCTGATTCTTTACTTGATGATCTTGATCTTGAACGTCTTCTATATGTTCCCTTTGAATACAGCTTATGTCTTGGTTTCTTTCTGAAATAAAACTTCCGCTGCCACGAGAGGGGCATTTTGTTGAAAGGTAGTTTGTAAAACAGATGAGCCATACCGGTTCCTCCAGACATAGTGGAAGCTCTTCTGAATTTTTCTAGTCTTTTTGTTGTTTCTGATGGTGGATTTTGGGATGGAGGTTCGATAGGTACATCTGAGATAAGTTTTGTCCCTGAACGCCTACCTTCAACTATATATTTTTTGTATGGTGCTGCTTTTGGCAAATGTTTTAAAGGCTTTGTTTCATTAGCAAGACGTTGAACATTTTTGCTATTTACAAGATCCCTTTCCCTTTTGTATGTTAATGGACGAATTAGTCTGTTTCTGGTTCGATACAGCTGTATAACTGCAATAGGGAGTACATGTGAAGGATATGCCATAGGAAGAATGGTTTCTTCGTCGTATTCATACATATAGACCTAAAAAAACAATCATAGCCATACAATTAGATACAGAGAAATTGCAACAACTATTTCTCCCTGATAATTGATATGTAAATGTACTCAGTTTCGTTTACTCACAAAGTTGTAGGCAATGGCATCGCAGATGTCAATGCTTGTCAGGTCAGGCTCATCCTCGGAAACATGAGAGTCATAATTTGGTGTTGGTGCTATACAGCCATATTCCCCTGTTAAGTAAGGTTTCACTTTCTTGACGCGTCCAAGCATTGCCTGTAATGTAGCAAGAAGTTTTTTTATAGAACACTGGAAAAGTAGAAATGAAACATTAAGATACCAGCTAAGTAGTGACTAAAGATTTTTCTTAAAAAAAAAATACCCTTAGAACTACTATGTAGTTTGCTTGTTGAAAGTTCTTGAACGCCATGAATCGTGTTAAGATATCGTAATGCCTGTTCATGTGAATCCCATATTGTGTGTCTCCAAGTACATTGTTCTTTTTCTCCTGACATCGTGGTCCATACTTGCAAATTTTGTGAACGTTGTTCCATCCTTCTGCCATAAAAAGCAAGTCATCCTGTACTTGCTCGTCTGATCTTTCCTACAATAGAAAAAAAATACGCGTAAGTCACATAACATAGGCTGAAATACACGTAGAATCAGACAGGGAACAAAGGACGTGTTTATACCAAAGTCTTCATTAATTTGCGTTTCTTTTCGTATCTTTCTTCCAGATCCTTGTTCCGGACCAACCAGACATTTTTGATTTCCCACAGCAGTTCTATGTCCTCATTTGTAACACATGTCTTCTGCATATCCCACAACAAGTTCGATACATCGAGGCTATTCAATTCCACCTTGTGCAGCATACCTGTAAATCAACAAGACAAGGTTACTGAACAAATCTGCATGATAATTCCTTGCGCATTGCAATTAGAGAGAGTACTGGTTGTGACTTTACTTTTCTCCAATGTTGACACCCCACTTTGGTTGGTGAGAGTAATCTGATTTTTTTCATATACATACTTTATAAGTGTTGTATCATATAAGGGAATTGAACTGTAAAGCTAGTAACCATACCTTGAAGTTTTAACCATAGACTGACACAATCGTAAAAAGGTATATCTAGTATACCCTTTCTGTTAAGCTATTGCTAGCAAACTATTTTTTATTAAATCGTAGATTATATTTCCATATCACACCAAACTACAAAATTGTCAAGTGCATCCTTCCCTTATCAGGATTGTACAATGATAAATACATCGGGGTCGCCGATAACGTGATTTTTTTGTAAACACGTTTTCTGTTGTTGATTTTTGTGTGCTGTACCGTTTTGTTAAATTAACACATTTTAGAACCTTTGTTGTCGTTTTTAAGTGTATCTGGACATATATAAACAGCTACAGCTTTCATCCTCCTTCACAATTCTTCCTTAAAAATGTGACTACTCCTTCAGTTTATCCGTTAGTACAACAAAAAGACGTGATAACATACTTGTATTAGATGATCGGTCCATTTCACTGTACAAAGGGTCTGCAAACTCCCGTAACGTGGGCCTGACTCCAAATTACAAATGTCTGGTGACCGTGGTCTGAAGATAAGATAACAGCTTGATTGAGTGCACAGATACTTACTGTACTAAGGGGGAGGTAACTAATTTAAATGTCTCCAATTTCAATAAAGTAGATCTGCAGAAATGTCACAGTCGACTACTGAAGATTCATCATAGACTTAAAATTGTAATCTGATCTGCAGGTTGATGCAAAAATTATATTTCTCCTGACTTTTTTTTCACAAATCCATCCATTTCACACAGTACTGTAACATCGTTGTAAAACAAGGAAGTTAAATAAATACAGTGATCTTGAAATCCTGTGTTGTTTTTCCTGTTGTGGTACTCCTCTGGTGTAGTCCCCTATCTCCTGTGATTACACACCCTATTCTGTTCACTCTCCGGGTAGCCACATAAACTTTTTATCTAGGAGTCACGTGACATAAATGTTTACTAAAACTTCCTTCGAGGACGTCGATTTAAGGTCACATTTTTTTCAAACAAAATACATTCCAAGTTTTAAATCACCCGATCAACAGAGCATGTATACCATACGATCCTGATTAAACTTGTCCTGGTTAACGACACAACAGGATCCCCAGGGCTCGTGTACCCGCTGAGGGTTCTAATGTCTAACCCGCAATTGTCCAGCAATCTTCCGTAACTTTAAGTTTTTGTCTCTGGAGAATTAAATTCCTGGTCACGATACTTAATAACTGGCACTCGTTCAAAAAACTTTTAACTTGCACAGAAGTTTAAAGTGGGTCGTACTTATGACATGTCGCTTTATGCATAAAAATTCCTGATTTGTCATAAGTGGTTTTAGTATCAAATCTAGTTTATGATGATAAAAATGAGATAACAAATGCAGGCAAATGGTTATTAAGCATTGTGTTTTAAATTTTAATCTGTTTACAGTGTCAAAAAGGTAGTAAATATTTGAAAGATAAGAATTCAGTAACATATCCCTTGTTTGTTTTCATTTTAGTTGGGTACATTAACTCCCATTTATCTTGCCTTTTGAAAGGGAAATAAATCTGATATGCTTTCCCTAAACAGATATTTACTATTAATCTTAAGTAAAATTCCTTGACACTTTGCTACTTTATATTGATATTTTTATTAACTTTGACACATATCGCTCTGATATCCCTCACAATCAACATAAATAATTACAACTCGGGGAAAATATTTAAATTAACTTATCACATTTCCTTCCATACCCTAAAATGGAGTGAAATTTAATGATATTAAAAATTATATTAGCACGTATTTAATATTCTTGAATCATTGTAAATCTATTTCACTATTAATGTTTAAAATAGAATATTTATTTACAGTGACAAAAATTTTAAATCGTGGTTTGTAAACTATTGTTTATATTAGTGAATTCGTCTTAATAAGATTTTTGAACTAAGAGAATCATTGTGTATATAAAAAGTTTAATACCGCTAAACCGAAATCTATAAATATCTTACAGGTACCTAGTGCTTACTTACGTTTTTTACGTTCGGATCCCATGGAACCTGTATTACAAAAAGCACAGTGGTTCACATATTGAACATAAATTTACGCCTCCCAGTTTTAAGTTTCGGCTCATTGTTATTTACATTTCAAAGAACTGGGTTATTAATAGAGGTGGGCAACAAAAATCCCCTTCACCAAAAATAGGAAATGTAGACATTTATCTACTTTCGTTTATAAAAAAGAATATGATATATCCATGAATAAAATTTTATTAAACGTTAAAAAAGACATATCCTTTGCATAATTTTCATTGTATTCAATGTGTTCTCAAATTAAATTAATAATTTAAAGCATCCTAAGCTATTAATAGTACATTTATTATTTATTTACTATTAATAACTACAATGACAACAGAATCAGAGAAAAGAAACAATTCTTAGCTCTTTAGTTGGATTTCAAACGAAAATAATAAAAATTTAAGCTGATTACATGTACCATAATTGTTTCAGACCTATCAGTGTAGATATTTGAAATATTAAATTGGAAAGAACACTAAACAATCACAGTAGTTTTCATTCTATTTATAAAAGTTTTGATGTATTTCAAGTTTTGAACTAGCATTGTTCCTGATTAAAAAAAATTGAAAGATTTAACATCGCATTTCCAGTCAGAACATTTCCCTCAATACAAATTAAGACGATATTTGCCTTTAACACATATGTTATAAAATTCATAGTGGTGTTTATTTATGAAAGAAAAATATCTAATCTAAAATTTTGCTTAAAATATATCAATTATTATTTCAACTATTGTACACATAGGCTAGGCATTGCATCTTTGTCACTCAAAATTGATTAAAGGTAGTGCTTCCGTTAATCCTTTCATCTGCAAGATGTCGCAAATATGCTTTGTGACCACCACATGTTCTATCCAGATACAACTATTCTAGATATTTTAACACTCGGTGACTTTTATTTCTCAACAGAGTTTGAAAGGTCTAACAAAGAAACCAAAATTGTTTGAAAACAGAAAAAAATATTATTCATCTTTCGAATTAAATAGTCTCTTGCTTCAACCAGATCCTTAATCATAAGCGCTCGTATCTATTCAAAGAGTTGTAATTAAGGGGGGCCGACTAGTTTCCATTGCGCAATATTTCGCGCATCATAGTAAAATGAAGCGTAATAACTGTTTGAATGCAACTTTTTTCGCTTAATAATTACAATTAAACAAAATTAAGAAATTATAGGTATAAAAATGTAATTACAATTTGATATAACTGATTTTTTAATCGATTTTGCAATTGATAGGTAGGTTGACGTCGTTGCAGTGTGTTTTTGACGTTTTGATAATCTGTAGCTCTTAAAGAAAGGGGTAATAAAAATATTATTAAAGAAAAAGAAATAAATATACGCTCTTGAAATTTAAAACATAGAAATTTGAGAATATCCTCCAATATTTTTATTATGTTTTCATGTGAATCCATTGTGTACGTCATATTTAGTAATACTCTATAAAAATAGTAAAATTTCTATTTTTTTTTTTTTTGCATTTTGAGATGTCCCCTCTGGTAACAAGACGATAGAATTTTGTGTTTCTTACATATATTGTATAATATAGTATTACTCATCAATTAATATAGTTTGAACAAAATGTCTATTATAGTATTTGTATAATTTGCTTTAAAGTGCTAAAAATTGGCATTTTCCTATATAATCCTATAGTAAATGTACCTGTATTTTGAGACGGTCCCTCAAAAATACCTGGACGGTAGATTTCCCCCAAACTTTGCATGTACACGGAAGTTAATGTAAGTTACATATGGTATAAAAATGAAGAGTTTCGCTATAGTATTTTTCACACAATAAAACTATAGTCGGCCCCCTTAAATAACTTTATGAAGTACAAGGTATAGTATACGTTTTACCTTTCCTGTGAACTACCAGGTGCTGTGATGGTTCCTCACAACCACAACCATTTCTATAACAAAATCTAATCTGCCTTGAAATTATTTAAAAAACTTTTTATAGAGGTAAGTTCTGAAATTTAAATACTATTAAATTGCTACATAATGCTTAAAGAATTGTTTCTTCTAATTACACATTGTCTTATCACATCTTTACTTCGTTTTCATAGAAAACATTGCTTATGGTATATTGGGTATGGTTTTTTTTGTTGTTGCTATCACTGCCGTCTGAGAAAGCCCTCTCTACAAGTATTTTGAGTTTATGCTGTCACTGATGCCTCTCAAAATTAATCTTATACATGCATTTCCCCTTGCTTCTGACTTCCACTGCAAAAGAACAAGATATGTGAACCGTGATCTAATTAAAACAAATGCATGACATTCAATCGTCTGTGCTAGTGACAGACAAGTCGTGCACCTAGAACTGAGGTCAAAACATCTGAGAACAAATGTTCTGGCACCTCGAACATAGGTTGAAACATCTGTTCTGGCACTTTAAATAATGAAAATTTAAATTAACATCGTGTTAACCCTTGTTAAACATATTTCTTTACATATTTATGTAGTAAGATTTCAAGTTAAAAATAAATGCAAAGGATTTTTCTGATGTTTAATATTCAGATTTACAGTTTTAATAAAGAGAGCATCTATAAGCTTAATAAAATTTCTAGCTTTTTCACTTACCATATAAAAGTATGCTTCTTAATGATCGAAAAAAAAAAACAAATTTCAAAAACAATTTATGATTGGTAAGATTTTAGTAGGTTCGGTTCAAAAGTCATGTTTTTGACAGTTAAAGTGTGTGCGATTTCATCCATCCACCCCTTTCCATAACATAAATAAGATACATTCAGCACAATATCTTGACCGAAAAGAAATTCCCAGCAAACTAGTTAAGTCACATCTCTATTGGTAAGAAAAATGCAGAGGTCTTGTCAATGATTTGGACTACTTTGAACAGTGTTTCTTAATGCTAAAAATCTTTAAAAATTCATAATTTTGAAGTGGAGGCTAAAAAGATTTAAAACAATTTTTTTTTATTTTAATTTGACTTATCTGGATTCCACTTCGGTTCTATTTTCCTTTCTTGGACTTCAAAAGCATTTAAAAAATTCTCACAAACTAAAATTTGTTTTTTTTTTATTCGTATTTTTACACAGTATAGGGTAATGTCTTGAATATACAAGAAACTACAATAGTCTGACTCATAATCCATATTAAACGGTGTAATATCTCTGTTCAAACTTTTAAACACAGGTCGTAGTTAGTTTGACACACCATTAGCATAATCAAACAAAGGCTACAACATTACAAAGAGATGCCTCTTTATGTTCATCAAACAAACTACAGGTAGTAAGCATTCAAACTGCAATGCTCAGATCTGACTTCCTCATGTGATTATATAAAATTTTGGAACATATGAACCACGATCAATGTTGCGTAAGTCTCGAAAATATATGACTCTTTTTATATGTCAATAATTCGCGTTTTTTCAGAAGGTACCGAAAAGGTACTAGTACACTTCTTCCTAAAAACTTTGTTTGAACAAACATGCGAAAACTGACTCTTTCATTTTTTTTCCTGTTTTGGAAAAAGTAAAATACTAGTAATTGATTCATGAAATTTGATAATAAATGTTTATATACTTCAACAAATGAAAACTATATATATAGTATTGATTTTTTTTTTTGTTTCATACTAAAAGTAAAGTCTGTCTCCTGTTTATCAAACACTTGGCGGCCACTCTTAATACAGATAAAATTTTGATTAAATGTTATAATCTTGATAATCTTACTTTGTTTTATTTTGATACAATTTTCGATGTTCTTGTTTAAATCACACTAACAACTTTATTTATAATACATCTGTTAAATTTGAATTGCCTAGAAAACCATATATTAAGTATAAAACTCTCTTGAACAAAGTGAAAACTTCTCTCAGTGATGAGAGCTCAGTTATACAACATGCTAACATTACTTCTCCTAAGAAAAGCACATTAAAATCTGTTTCACAAACCAAAAATCCGGTTCTTGTGACCAGTAACCAAATTTATACTTCACAAGCACATAAAGACCCAGGGTTTGAATTGAGATAAAAGGTTTACTATTGGAAATTTAAACATTTGTCATATTTTTCCTAAATTTGATGAAATTAAACTGTTGCTAAAACCGGCAATAGTTAGATATTTTAGGAGTTTGTGAAACTTTTTTTGAGTGAATCAAGGGTGTGCGTGTTTTAACAGCACAAGAACAGTGTTTCAAAATCTTCAAGGAGAAAGTTGATTTAATTTGTAAATTTTAAAGAATAGAACCCAGTATGTCTCTTTTGATTTCAGAGGCGTCTTGAAAAATCTACAAACCATACTGCATTCGTGAGTGCCATAAAACCCTAAATATAAATTTACACAGCGGGTTTCAGTAAATATTTTACCAATCTCCTTGCTATACCCTTTTCTAATTTTTTTTATAAATAACAGTAAAGGAGAAACTTCAGGAGTACTGTTCGTTACTAGTTATATATGTTTGAAAAGTGGTCAGATGTGAATACTTTAAAACTCCAATGAGCTTTATCACAAAATTTGAAATTATAAATTACATGTACAAAAAACATATGAATTTGAAATACATTTTAAATTGTAAAAGTGTTTCCCTCAACATATTTTAGTACAGACTTATGGATTTTGTAGAAAGCTGCTTTTTCAAGAAAAATGAAACTGATAAATTATTTACCTTGTCATTTGCAAAATTCTTTTTTAGAAAACATTTCAATTGTAAATAGAAATACTTTGAAGAGTTTCTGGGACACGTTTTATAGAAGAACTTACGACCAAGACCAAACTTAATTCTACATATAACTGTCTAATTAACACTCTATGTACAATGGTTTTTATCTTTTGAAAAGGAATGTGTTGTAAGTTATATTTACAATAGCAGTTTTAAACAGAAATAAGTGTTTGGTCTAAGTCGTATGTTCTTTGTAAAGCAGACACCTGATTGACAATGTTTTATTAACTTTTTGACAATTAGGTCCTCCTACACTTCTTCGCAATTCCCATGGATACAAAAATCGCCCCTTTACATGTATAACCAGACCTATTTTTGTATTCATTTGAAAGGGGTTTTTCAAAAAATCTTCAGCATGTCAGAGAAGACGAAAACACCTACTGTTGCATAATCAGCTTCACCTATATATATAGATATATCGACGCCGTATATTATCAATGAATAATGGTTACTGTCATTAATATACCGACTTCATATATTCATAGAGAATTTGAAATAAAAGATACTACAGAGTCTGTTTCATATTTGGATATTTTATTAGGAAAAACGACAAACAGCAAAAAACAACAAAACTTTATGATAAACGTGATGTCTATAACTTTTCTAGCGCCGTTAACTCCCCTTACTTATACAGCATAGTTAGTATGCCCGACCTTGACAAGGAGCACAAAGCAGGTTTGATCGGTGGTTACGTTTCCTTCTTCATGGCACATTCTACCTCTAATGATATTTAAGGTCCGTATTTGCTCTGCTCCAGATTTATGTTGTTTTGTTGAACATATGGACTTTATTATAGTTTTTTATCTCCATATTTCATCAAGTACATGTATTACAAACAATTTACAATAGAATTGTATCCCATCTCCTTTCTTCACAACTAAAATGTTTCCAGAAAAAAATATATCAGGAGGATAGAAATTTACATATGCTATGTAGTTATGTTTGTACCACAAAGTCGGCATATGAATGAAAGTTTCATAAATATATTATAAATAATATGCATAAAAAGTATTTATTTTAATTGGCATTGTATATCTGTGCAAGTAAAATGCTTAAAGCGAAAATTTAAACTCTTCTTTTTTGAAAAACACACTTGGTACTTACACTTTTCATGACAGAAGTTTTTATTTTTAAGACTTAATGACAACACCTAATCCCAGTTCTGAAGTTCTCATCGGTCGGTATTGGTTCTGTTCATAAGTGTAGTGGTACTGTCGAAATAGAATTTCTCCACATCCTTTGGTAAATTTCACCGATGTTAAAATAGCAATGGAAATCAAAGTTAAAAAAGATTCAGATGATTGTCATTTGAATTATATAACAATTGAATATAAACTGCCGTCACCCCAAAGCATAATCTCCTATTTATGTATGGAAAACCACAGTACCGATTATGGAACAAAAATTATCACTGCGATAAGTAGGTATTTCCTCACAACCCACAAGCATAATGTTGAAATGATTACAAAGTTCAAATCTTGTTACTTTATTGAAATATTTCCTTTTCATTGCGTAAAGAAGACAAAAATATTTGTTTCTTTTTTATTTTTTAAATGAAACATGCTTTTCTTTGATTTAGAATATACATACTTCCGCGTCCGGATTTTGTACATTGATCGAGCTAGAGAACTCATACAGACCATTTTACCTGCTGTTCAATCAATGTTCATTGTATAAATTTCTACGCATATTATGAATAAAATACTTCTTCTAGACTTAAATAATGCTATCAATATGGATGAATTTTCTTCATGGTACACCCTATTGAACGAAAACCAAAAGATCATTAAAAAGCTAACTGTACTTTACATTTAAAAAAGTTATTTTTGGTTAACATTGCTGGAAAATAAAATTGAAAAGTAAGCTGTACATTGAACGTTTCTTCCTGAATTGTTTCATGATTTTTTTTTTTTAAAATAATACTTTTATATAATACGTCTTTTGGGAACTATATTGTTTTACTTGCCTTTTAAAATTTTACCATGGTTACTGATGCACAGAGCAGTTTAACTTTCTTCTATGCCATGGCGAAAGTGGACGTTTTGTTGAAGTGGTATGTGTACTATGTTCTTTAGGGGTGGGGTGGCAAAATCAATTCAGCTACAGATAGTGCTCCTTAAGTTCAGGACTCTCTCTTTAAACTTTAAAGAATATATTCGAAATCACAAAGTATTTATGCAAAGCTCCATGGTATATAGATAAATAAATAACATTGAAATAATATAATAAATTCAACATATATAATTGCTGCACAATATATGATATGTTAAGAACTCTTGCTTTGGTGCATGGTATAGTGACTGATGAAACTTCAAAATAAATTTGAAAGAAAACTGAAAATGTCATGTGAAACTATATTAATAAACTCTTGCAGTGAATGATTATATTTGTTCAGTGTGATATATATGATGCGACATACCGAACAATGAATTATATGAAACATAATAAAATAATTTCTAATGTTCTTGTTTTTTCAGATGCGTATCATATATAATTTTTGCGTAATCACCAATTAATTTGAATGATACTGGTCGAGTTTCTTAAGGATAAAAGCCTACGAAATAAATATGAAAAGAATATGAAAACATTCATAGTCATTTTAAGTAAAATTAGCGTCACATTATTGGAACAAAAATTACTACATACCAGAAGAAAAGGACAATAACAAAATTGGAGAATAAGGATTTTTACCGAAATCAAGCATGCCAGTTAATTTACAATGAGAAGTTAAAAAAAAATAATCATTAAAAACAAACTTATTTCAACACTTTTAAGAATTATAAATTAATGATTTTTTTTAGAAGAATAAAAAGATCACCTATCCATTTGAAGATGTTTGGCAAAACAATGATCCAAAAAATTTAGCATTCTTCAACGTATCATTGTTCTCGGATAATAGTGGTCAAACCTCTGTTGAGACCCATGTGATACGATTATGAAATTCAACATTTTTGAAAACTGATAAGGATGGTATTTTATTGCTGTTTCGTCATAAAGACATACTGTTTTTTGTTTCTACTTGTCAATATACTAAATCAATCGTCTTGACATGCATTTCTCTGATGTTTAACTTTTCACTTCCTGCACTGGAATTGCATACATCATCAGAATTGGCGAATATTGATTCTTAATGGTAGTTTGTAAAGTTCGATCTGTGCTGTATATAAAGGCATTTCCATTCACAGTCGATCACAGTCTCGGCAAGCACCCGAGGAAGACACACAGAACAGGTACTCTCAGCTCTCCAGAAGCCTTTGTATCAACCAGTTTAATCAAAACGGCATCAATGATAAATGTTTGAACGAAATTATTTTTTTTAATCCTGCATAATATTTAATTGTATTGTTTCATAGTTCAGCATAGAAAAAAAAATTTGAAATCTTGCTTTCCCTTTTAGATCAACATGCTGAAAGAAGTTTGTTTTCTGCTGATGGCCACATATGTGGCTGCCACTTATAACACTGGTAATATTAAAACTCTTTTTTTAATTTATGACTTTGATTGTCCTTAATTTTTTTTGTTAAAGATAATATATAATTTACAGGCTATCCTTCAATTCCTTCATACCCATCCTATCCCACTTATCCCCCGAGTGGTGGATACAGGTATGTAGTGTACATCCAATACCTCTACTACCTGTACGTTATTTACGGACCCAACTCCGTCCAGTATCTCCAATACTACCGATATTTGGTCCGACTTCACATCATTCCTCAGGGATTCAACTTCGCACGTGGTGGTTTCCCGGGTGGTATCGGTAGTTTCCCTGGCGGTATTGGTAGATTGCCGGGTGGTATTGGTGGTTTTCCAGGCGGTATTGGTGGTCTTCCTGGCGGAATTGGTGGATTCCCGGGTGGCAGTGGTGGTTTCCCAGGCGGTATCGGTGGATTCCCGAGTGGTAGTGGTGGTTTCCCCGGCGGTATTGGTGGTGGAAGTCAAATCATCGGGGGTGGTAGCGGTATAACCCCTATCGGGGGAGGATCTATCCCAAGTGGCAGATTCCCCTATGGAGGTGGAAATCTAGGTGGTGGCCTGCCCCTTGGTGGCATTGGAGGAGGATTCCCTTCTGGTGGTAGTGGATTTCCTCTCAGTAGCGGAGGAAGCTCTCTCAGTGTCTCCAGTGGTAGTTCCTTCCAAAGTGGCAGTCTTGGAGGTGGCTTAGGAAGTGGTCTTGGAGGCGGTTTAGGAAGTGGGCTAGGAGGTCTCAGCGGTGGATTGGGAGGTCTTGACGGTGGGCTAGGAGGTCTCGGTGGTGATCTTGGAGGTCTCGGTGGTGGATTAGGAGGTCTTAGCGGCGGACTTGGAGGTCTCGGCGACGGTCTTGGTGGTGGTTTGGGCGGCGGACTGGGAGGTTTAGGAGGTGGACTTGGTGGTCTTGGAAGCGGTATCGGCGGAGGATTAGGAGGAGGTCTTGGCGGTGGCCTTGGCGGTGGACTCGGAGGAAGAAAAAAGCTTGGTAATTCTTTTTAACTTAAGTAGCCTTTAGAAAAGAAAACACCGTTTAAAGAGAGAATTTATCAACAATATATTTTAAGCATTAATGTTCTATTTTCAGGGTATTACTGAACTTTCTTCTGTCTGACCAAAATGGATCTCCTGCTGGATGTTGATTCAAATGTATCATGATATATTTGTTTGGTTAAGGAATAAACAGAGGACGCAAATAAAAATTTATTTTGTCCATAATTTTAAGACAACAATATTCAAAAAAAAAAAAAAATCAGGATTTCAAATGACCATTTAATTATTTAGACAATAGCTTGAAAGTGTTTTATAGATATTTTTTGTATACAGTATAATTTGTCCAAACCAGATATCGCTTGTTGTTTTAGTTACAAGTAAAGTATTTACATTTTGTAAAGGAAAAATATAATAACATCATAAAATCAATCAATATTTTGGAGTCTAGAAATTATAAAATAGCCTCGCATGATTGACTGTAATTTTGATTTCTAAATTCACAAAGTTTTAAAGTCTCTGTCTACATGTCTATATCAACTGTTCAGGTTTTGCATGTCAAAGAGCTCATCCAACGTATAACCATAAATACAATTACCAGGGGTATATTTGATTTAATAATTTTGAATTGAACTTTTAATTTTTATTTAAGAATTAAGGTCTTCCTTCCAATGTGAAATTTTATGAGAACTTATTTTTTGAGAGTATGAATTAGTGTATTTTTCATAAACATATTCACGATGATCATCCAATGTAAAACATTGTGAAATGACTGTAACTATATATAAGGAGCATTAATTATTGCAGCTCAAAAGTCTAGTAAATAATAAAAATCAGGAGCAGAGCAAACACAGATCTCTCACACATCAGAGGTGGAATCGGGTGTCATGGAGAAGAGAGCATCCCCTGCCGACTGTTCACACCCGCCGTGTGCTCTTTGTCATGATCGGGAAATAACGGAAAAATTCGTCGACAGTTCAGATCAGATTCAGTAATGGGCTAATAATTGGTAGGAAAAACGTTAGTCAACATGTGGCTCAATGATGATTTGTTTTTGTTGACAAGGTCATTGTATCACGCAGCACAGTTAAGGTTACAGTAAGGAGGCGGGGCCTAATTTGTACAGGAAATGTTTACTATGACATCACACATAATGTAAGGTCTTCAAAATACCACAAAATGAAATTTATTTAAAACACCTGGATAGCTGTATACTACATACAAACTTACTATTACATGCAGTTTTGTCCTTTGTTAAATCCCACATAACAGTATATAAACGATTCATCGATCGCAATGCACTTGTCAATGTGACGTCATCTCACAAAAATGACGCAGTTTATACACAGCTAGAGGCTGATCATGTCACATTTTTTTTACAATGAAAAATGTCTTTTGCTCTCAAATAAAATATTTGCAGTTAAATAAAAGGCCGTTAACTTTGATGCGATGTGTATTTTTGTATTTTATTTAAAACTGTACGTACATTCTCCAGACAAGCGATACTGTCGTGTGTTTGTATAAAGATTCATTGAAAAAGTAATGGAAGGGCCCTAATAAATCGATTTATTGCAAGGACATACCCTCAATGTATCTTGTCAATGTTTACACATAAACTCAAGAAGCATTAAGATATTTGAAAAGTGCTGCGAACCTCATGAATAGCTATATTTAATGTAGTTGACCAGCAAAATATTCAACCTGCCGTCCAACAAATTAAATTTTAGCAATTAAAAAAGGGAATCTATAGAGGTTCGCAGCACTTTTCAAAAACTACATATAGTGTTGAAAAGGGTTATAAATTAAACTGAGATTTTTAACCTGGCTATGCCCTTGCAATATTGAAATTTATAGATGACCTCTAAACTGCAAGTATAATTGCTAAAATCATGTGACGTCGACATCACATGACAAGTCTAAATAAAAAATCTAAATGTTCTCAACATGTTGATATAGACCACATTACATTTTTTTTATATCAGTGAAGTCCTAAAAAGAATCGCCCATCCTAATAAATTATGTACTTTTTATCTCTAAAAATCGCCGATATTTCCATTTGAAACCTTAAGGGGGATGTACAAGCCATATTGGATCTAGTCTGGTGTAAAATAAGAAATACCAAGAATACGCTTAATACTGTACTAAACTAGCCCAAAGTTACTCAAAGTGCTAATGCACTTATTACCTACTGTTAGAGACCAAAATTAATAAATAATTAAGTTTATTTTGTTTTAATTAGGAGGAAATTAATCATGTTAGAACTGCGCAGCTACAGCATTCACGAGATGAAAAATGCATTGAAAATGGTGTTAGTTTGATTCATTGATAATATGGCTACAACCATTTGTTTCGCTTTTTTCTTGTCATTATCCATAATTCTTGAAAATTTGATTTTTCATATGGGTGTCTTCCTGAGGCCATGTGTTTATTTCGTCCGCCATTCCTCTGTCACACAGAGTTCGAATAACATTGATTTTAGAATAAATGCGACCATAATAACATCAAGACAAGAAATTACTAAGTAATTATCATTAGGTTATATTACTTGCTACTTTTGTTTGTTGCATCGCATCGTCTGATAAATGAAGAAACGCGATTTTAACCCCACTCCAGCAAATCGGGAAGAACTGTTCTGTTTAAAGCTCGAATTTCCTTGTTAATATCATTGCACTGAACACGTGGTTGGCATGTGCATATATCTGCTGTGGATAGATGCGTTTATTACCATGATTATATTTAATTTTTCATGGAACAAGTCTTGATAATTTGTTGGTTTCTTTAAAACTCAAGAAAAAAGATAAAAAATGTCCTAAACATATGAGTTTACCTCGGGTCTTTTTTCTGTGGCGATAGAAGTTATTTTCAAATGGGGCACTGCAAGGAGGATGCTTAGCATTTAATTTGAAAATGTTAAACAATATGCGGTGCATGAAAAACAAATATTAATTACATGTCTTACATTCGAAAAGTTGGTACATATGTCTATTTTGTTTAGCAGTTAGAAAGAAACAATAGGCAATTATAAGATTTCCTTCAGGCACCTCACATAAATAGCTAGATTTCTTACAATGACCCACACATTGTATGGAGTAATGTTTGGACATAAAAACGCATCATATCTCATTATGTTGACAACGTTGTAAGCTCTCGCTCATTGAACATACGAAGCTTGATAAAATATATTGATTTGTTTCTTTGAAATTTAGAAACAAGCACAATGTTTGCAAAGAAAGGTCCATTGCATATGCTATGTCTATCATCGCAAAAAAGTGAGAGGCCACCCGAAAATCCTATGTTTGTTTGTTTTTCTAAATAGTGCCAAAGATTCAAAAAGTTTGCATTACTTAAGTATGTGATAGAACATGTACTAGCCTTATAAGACCATTTGTTATAAAAATATTTGGTTGCCCTCTCTCCCGATCTACTGTCTATCTAGAAATGGCCCGACTCAATTTTTTTTTACATCCCATTACACGATATTTTTTTCTTCCGTTAGCAAATATGTTTAAATTTTAAGGATTTTTTTTTCTCACCTATAAATACCGACCCAATAATTTTTCCCTGAGTTGGGAGGACCACCAAACGTCATTTCTAAGATGGTATAAAATATTTAATTGTGTTGATTTTTTTTTCTTTACTCTGCAAAATTGTAATTTTGACAAAATGGGCAAATAGAAAATAGTTTCTTATTCATTAAATCTTCTAACTCACTCTGAATGATTTCATTCCTTTTCAAATGTAATGTTGCTCCGCTGTAATGAAAATTGTAAATGTTTATTTGACAGAGTATACGAGGGATGATCAAAAAGTAAACGGTATCTTAGGTATTTGATAGTTATCTTATTGTTGAAATATTCGAGTATTTTTCAAAGTGTAAATTGGAAGTCTTTGATAGCATATTGCTTAATTAAAAACACATCCCAAGATAACATAACAAATATCATATTTAGCCATTTGCCTTCCTTCACTAAAACGATCTATCCAATCATTGATTGCATTTATAGGAAGTCATTTGTCTTAATAAACTGTGAACAAATTCTTATACGGTACTTCAAAGGCATTTTTAAGATATACCATAAATATTTTAGTCGTTTGTTGAACGAGTTCCACTGAGACAATCATTTTTCGTCAAAAGTACCTGCATAATGACGTAATTTTCACATTGTGAGCAAAACTTTATTCAGCATATGCTATTTATAGAATTTGTGTCTGGCTATGTGTGCACTAAATTTGTTTCTAATCTGAATTGTGGTTTTGTAGATACACATGTATAGAGATAGTTCGCGAACTTTTTGATCACCCCTCGTACTAGTAGGTACTAAAACAAGGTCATTCATATCGATTTTATGTGTTTAATTTCTTTGTGTTTCAATAGTGATAATTAAACTGTTAATAGATATTATAAGTTATCTGTGGCAAACTTACAAACTCTCAATTTTTAACTTTGATGGTGCTCATTTTTCCTTTACTTGAATCAAAGAGATTTAGATTTTTGTTTATATCAATACGTACACTATTTAACAACTGTTCGATAACAATACTAAATAAATTACTTCAAGGAACACTATAACACATTTCCTCTTTTAAAAGTGTTCATATTATTTGAAATATTTTGCAACTGTAATTCTCTTCTACATTTAAAGATTGTTATGTCCCTCCATATTACGAAGAGGTCTGGAAAACAAAATTCTGTGCTAAAAATAGACCACGTGCTGCTATCCATGAACTACTTTCATGGTTCTTTACACTCTTTTTGAAGACAACGATACATTGTTTTGAACTTGAAATTATCATATAAAAGTGCAAAATTTAGACATTTTCTCAACAAATGGTTGTAGAGAGAACATTGATGCACAGTTTGCATATTTTTTTGGATTTTTTAAGGCTTTGCTGAATTCTGTAGCTGCGCAGTTCTGAGGAGCATATCAAAAGCATTTTTCTGCAAAAGTATAGATTATTTATGCACAACATGCATTCAGTTATGCATATTTATTGTATCTTTATCATAAAGACTTAAAATTTGATCAAAATATAATGTATTTTAGCCATTTGAAGGAATGTTTACATTTTGTTCTCACTGCACTAAAGGTGGCCGTACATCCCCCTTAACTATGCTGCGCACCCATAGAACTTTCAAAATGATACCTTTATACGAGAATGCTGATATTCCTGTTTCATCAACTTGTCAATGGCCTTTTTCAATTTATTCTTA